TTTTTAACTCAATATCATCCACAGTCTTCGAAATTGCAAACACTACTTTTTGGTCAATTTAAATCAACATTGGTGTTGTTATCTTGCCGTAAAAGATTCGGATACTGATATCCAATATTTAAGACAAAATGAAAATTTTAAAGTTGACACACGAATCGTGTACCACAATACTTTCGAGCGCCAGCTATATGAAGCGACTCGATGAACTTCTCTAAACATATTAGAATACTATGGGTAAAGACTTGAATAACCAGACGCCAAAGATTACCATTCAATTTAGACTCTTCGCGTATTTTTGCGAATATTACTGATTAGAAATTACAGTAAAAACAGAAACGATCGAATGTAAATCAGTTTATATAAATTACATTATTACATTTGTTGCGAGTTGCGACCCATTTGTGTCCATTTCTAGGTGGCAAAGAATAGCGATTTAGCTCCTTTAAAATGCCTCATAGTATTCTTAAACGGCTTTTTAACCTTGAAGGAGTAAACCACTTAATATAAACGATGATTATCCTAAATCAATTTTCGGGAACAAAGAGATCAAATTACCAAATTATAGGGCTATCGAGACATTAAACTTCATTCCAACCCATTCTTTATCTTATATAGAGATTATTTGAAACTAATTATGTATAAAAGATTTATTGATACCGAGTTTGTATATAGAGATTATTTGAAACTAATTATGCATAAAAGATTTATTGACACTGAGTTTGACCCAGTTTTGTTTCAAAAAAAAAAAAAAAAAAATGATGTTTAAAGTGCCAATCCCGATAATATTTTGGAGAATAAAACTGCTTAGTTTTGTGTTAAAATCCCTTAAAATCCTCTACCTTAGGCCCGAGCAACTAACTCAACAGATATGATACGTTTTCAAACAAATTAAACCCGTCAGTCGTCATCTGGAAATAGAGACCGGATTAGCAGTTCTGACGTTCACATCGAAACGACTCAATATTTTGAGCTGAAATTTTGAGATAGGGTAAATACATCATTTCTCTCTATATTTTGGCGCTTAAATTTCATACATGCTCCGACTTTTATATTTGAGACTCTGTTCAAATCGGGAAAATCCCTTTAAGAAAAGAAAGATATAACATGAACGAGCGTGTAATGGAGAAAGAGCGTGATATATTTTTAATGTGATATAATACTTGGTAAAGTTTAAGAGAGTGCGCTTATCAAAGCAAAGTAAATATTGAAATACTAGAAAAATATCATCGTTCACTTATAACAACAACCTGTATTAAACTGTTACACCTAGGCCTACCTTGACATTGATGCGATGCATGGCAGTTCATACATATGGAGGTATATATTTATTGTTATATTTCTGTTGAAGATTCCTGACCTGTTTGATTCGGGGTAATGTAATAAATTAGGTTGATTTGATTGTGATATTTTGATTAGTGCTGGGCAAGCTATGGATGGATGAATACGTAGTTTGTATAAATCTCTGGAAAGGCTCAATTCGATTAAATGTTCCGTTCGGTGAAATATAAGGGATAGTCGATCGATTGATCCGATTCAGTGTTAACAGACCCGAATGGTAACTGTTGAAAGAAAACTATGTTATGCATTTCAAAAATAGCTTATTTTACTGGTGAAAATTCGTTAAAAGTAAAATGATCACATGCGCAAAACAGATCAATACATTGATTGTAATTCAACCCAATATTTCATTTTTCACTCAAATCAGAGGCCGTGTCATATTGACTTCATATCGTTTGGTTTTAAATATAATAGGTGTTTGAAATATTCGAGACAAGAAGTGAAGTGGGATTTGTATCAACCAGTATTCGATACACAACCCAATATTTCATTTTTCACTCAAATCAGAGGCCGTGTCATATTGACTTCATATCGTTTGGTTTTAAATATAATAGGTGTTTGAAATATTCGAGACAAGAAGTGAAGTGGGGTTTGTATCAACCAGTATTCGATACACAAACGATGTTTTATCTGAAATAACCCCGACTTCTTAAATCTTAGTCTAAACCATCGCTCCATTTGCTAATAACTATGTCGAGCGCGCGGCAGCGTGTGCTTAAACCTTTTAGAGCATTGGGTACAACTTGTCATTGAGGAGTACACAAAAGATAAAGAACTCTTGTTCTACTTTTTTATTCCATATATCAAAATTTATTTTATGTATACTCCATTAACTTTATTCGCGAAATCTTAATCCCTGGAAATGGGTTGTAAATTGCCTCACTACTTTATGGAATATGTAATCATCGATTGGGAAAACATCCAAAATATCGGATAAATATGTAATATTAATTTCCAAGAGATACCTCATGGGATGCTTCTTTTGGTACTGTGAAATTATATTAATGTGGCCGCTATTAGGTGCCAAACTATGAATGGGCGATGATTACTTATGGTATGTCGAAGACGAGAATTGGCCACCACCTTCATGGTTAAACGGCGATACGTCTTAAATAGTACATGCATACTAATATGATTGTGATAACTTCTAACACGATTAAACACACTATCTGCGCACAAAAATCAGCATCCATTTGGACATGGGTTTATCAGAGGTAATTTCAAATAGTAAGTACAGGGTGACCGCACTACACGTAAACAAAACCGAAAAGACAAACCTGCGGACAAGACACAAACTATACAGAAATTGCAAGCAATCAACAACAAATACTAAATCAAGTGATTATAGGCTATCGGCACACATAATATAGCTGACGAATTCCATTCTGTCGGGTTTTATAACAGTCTTTAGTTACCACATGTCTTTATCTTTTTATACTTGATTTTAAATCCAGTTGTTCATGTGTACATAATTCTCGAATGTAAGTGGTAGCTACCTAGCTGCGACCAACCACCACTTGATGTTCAGATATCATATATAAAAGGATTGTGACTTCTACGATTTTGTATTCCGGTTGTCAGGGCTGTATATCCGGCGCTTCTACTTTAGCCCCAGTCGTATTGTTTTGATCTATTAAAGTAGCCAAGCCTTTCAATCAATATCATCCACAGTCTTCGACAAACACGACTTATTCGTCAGTTTAAATTAACATTGATGTTGTTATCTTACCGTGAAAAGTTGGGCTTCTGATATCCAAATGAAAATTTTAAAATTGGCACACGAATCGCGTATGAAGCGACTCAATGAACAAGGCTAAACATATCCCGTGTAGGAGAATAATACCGGTGTAGACTGGAATAACCAGGCGCCAAAGACTACCATTTAATTCGGACTCTTCGCGTATTTCGCCAAACATAAATGAATAAAAATTACAGTAAAAACAGAAACGATTTAACGTATCCCAGTTTATATACATTCATATTACATTATTCTTTGGGTTTTGACCCATTTGTGTCCATTTCTAAGTTCCAAAGAATAGCAATTTAGCTCCTTTAACGATTAATTTTAAGTATAATCACAGAAGCAAATTATAGATAATTGTTGGATGTCCAGTACTTTAATTGTAAAATAACTAAAGTTATAAATGGAACCGTAGTAGTGGAACGGTTAGAGGACTGAACTAAAATGTACACTGCCAGGTTCCATCTTTAGAATACGAAATGAACTGCAGTTTAATATCCTACTGTTCCACACCGATGGACTGATGAAAACCGTCTTTGGAAACATATCTCGCATATGTACATATAACATATTCAGGATTCAGTATTGCTGGAATATGTGACGGAAGTTTTTTTATACGCCCACATTTTCATGTGGACGTATTATGCCGTCGCCCCTGTCCGTCCGTCCGTCCACAATTGTTTGTGGACTCTCTACAGGTCACAATTCTTATCCGATTTTGACGAAACTTGAAATATAGGTTTATCCCCAACAGATCTCGGCTGCTTTCGATATTGGCATGTATCGGATCGAAACTTCATGGATTATGGCCCCTGATTGTACGAAAAATCACGTTTTTAGCTTGTGGACCCTATAGAGGTCACAATTTTTATCCGATTTTTTTGAAACTTGAAATGTAAGTTTATAACCCAAAGATCTCGGTTCCTTTCGATCTTCGCGCATATCGGACCGTAACTTCCTGAATTATGGCCCCTGGTTGTACGAAAAATCGCGTTTTTAGCTTGTGGACCCTATAGAGGTCATAATTTTTATCCGATTCAAAAAACCGTATTATTATATCACCGTTACACCCTAAGGAAGGTTGAGTTCGAATTTCGTGAAAATCGGCCCAAAATTGACAGACAAAATGGCCGCCGTTCGTTCTCAAATAGCGTAAAAATATGGTATATCAAGGTTGTGGACCCTATAGAGGTCACAATTTTTATCCGATTTTGTTGAAAATTGAAATGTAAGTTTATAACCCAAAGATCTCGGTTCGTTTCGATATTCGCGCATATTGAATTGTAATTTCCTGAATTATGGCCCTTGATAGTAGGAAAAATCCTTTTCTTGTTAGCTTGTTCTCTATCCATCTCTCGAAAATGTGGGCGTATCCTGCCTGGCAGCCGCTGGTTGTTATACCTGTTTCTAATACACTATTAAGGAACATTATTGGTTCATTAACCATTGCTACATGATATAGCGAATGTTTTCATTGGTCTTCCCACTTCGCTTCACGAATAATAAAAATAATGTTTTTTTTTAATTTTTTGCTTATGTTAAACCTATACACTGTGGACAAGAGAATAGGTGAAACGTTTCGGAATTGTATAGTGCATTTCAGTGCGTGTCGCAATTGCAGAATAATTGTCACTTGAAATTTGGACTGTATAATCACGTCATAATATCATACACAGGGGAGATAACTTTTTCGTGCTCACATAATAGTTGAATTATGAATCGGGGGCAAGGAAAGATAATTACGCAGATAAGTCACGTACTATAGTAAGTCCAGCAATGGTTAATGAGTAGATAATGCGCATAACCATTTCTCGAAAACTGGGCCTGATGTGAAAAGTTTGCATAGATCACAGTTTGTTGCTTTGTTAGGGTCACGTTGTTTTCCTTCCACTCCCAACGTGCAACTATAATTATATGTTTTTCTTTTTCAGGAATTCGAAAAATCTGGAATATTCGATGCGCAGACGGAACTGGAAAAAGTTCAAAAAGAAGAAGAAGACAAACTTTACGAACAAATAAAAGAAGAGAGAGAAAGAAATATACAGAGGTTGGAGGAGGAATTAAAGGTCGAAAAGGACAAATCTGTTCGCGAGTTGGTTTCGACCATTAAGCGTTACTCGCCACAGAAGGGGGTAACAGGTCTAGAAAAGGAGACAGAAAAACTGGAGGAACATTTTAAAAAGAAGAGAGAAGAAAATGTACGGAAGTTAATGGATAGACTGAGTGTCGAACAGAAGAATAAAGTAGCTCTTATGATACAGAAACACAGTCAGGCTATGTTGATGATGATTGCTGAAAGACTTATGTCTCTAGAGGTAGGACAGAAACTAACGAGTTATTGAAATTGTTTGATAGCATGTGTTTATCTATATGCGTTAGCTTATAATCTATATACTAAATGTCGTTTGCTCTAAAGGTCAAATGCTAACACTGTAAGTGCGGATCAACGTTAGGATAAAAATATAAATAGGCCAAGAAAACAAGTATATTAGAATTTTGTAGAACCGTTTGTCTCTGGGGTTCGTATAAGAGTTGATGTACAGCTATTATAGGTGTTAGTGAATTATCGAGAGACTGCGCATTGCCAGGAAGGATATAAAGATAACCACAAAGCACTTATCTTTATGCGTATTAATAGAGTTATTCTCAGTAATATAAACAGTTAGGTCTATTTCTACAATCTTTCAATATTTGTTAATAATGCTTCGATATTATAACTTCTGACCTTTATTCTAACCAGAAATTAGCTTTCAAGTAAATAAATTCTTGACGGTTGCCCTCTCCCCAGCCTCTGCCACATCTTATTAGCACTGTATTGCACAAGCTCTTGATCATCCACAAAAGTATCTTTGTGTTAGTTTCATAATGATGTTATACTCAGTGATGTATAACCATTCAAAATGGGAATTTTCTCTGAAAAATAAAACAATATAATTAAATGATCCTTTTCTAAAAAAAAAAAAACAAAAAAAAAAAAAATATCAAGAATTTTTTTACAAGATGCTTTAAAATAATATTATTTTCCCATGATTAGTGGTTTGATAAACAGTGTTCTATTTCTCTCGTATTTTGAATATACAATCTAATTTAAGAAGCTTAATGATTGTATAGTCAAATCCCGTTAAATAAAAAGATATTTCTGTACCAAGCGACAAATACCTCTAATGGCCCTTTTAGCCAAATTATGAAACTTGGATAACTGCATTATAGGAATATGAGCAGAAAGTCAGTGAGTCACACACGATTTTAAGTGTTACACTTCTGTAAAAAAAATAAATCCTACATGAATATGCATGTGCACATCAAAGCAGAAACCTAAGATACTGTGCTAATATGGTGTATCAAAGTGCTTAGAAATATTTTATATTATTAAAATGAAATGAAATGGGGTTTAACGTCCTACTGTTCTGCTCCGACTGGGCTAATGAAGACGGGCATACGCCATACAGGAAATTTTGCCCGGGCAGCGGCACTATGGACTACTGTTATGTCGAATTCCAACTGTCAGGGGATCTTTTAAGTGCACGCCAATGTATACACGGGACCTCGGCATTTCGTCCAATCCGGACGACTATAGACAGCTGCCCTTGTCCTGCAACACCGACAAAGGGAAACCACGCCGGAAAATTCCCGATGAACTTTTTATATTACTATGCTGGAACTTGATTGCTCGAAAGAAATGCATCGACGCTCCATGTAAACCTCCCATTATAAATTCGGTCATCCGCCCCTGCTAAATGATGAAATCTATTTGATCTGCATGAAAGGATAGTTTCTGAATGGAGAATTAAAATCGTCGTATACCATAATGTCGGACACAAGTTTATGGTTTTGTTCGTCCGCCACCACAAACCAAGCAGGACGACTGGTTATCATTAATTTTCCTTAATCGCAAAGTTACATGAATGGTTCACCGATTGTTGATTTTAATTCCAGGAGAGAAGTTCGTCAGATTCCGATGATAAAACCTCCCCAGTTTGTGATCTATCTCGACCACCTCCTATATCACCTCCAGAGTTTAGAAGATCTCAGTTATTTAAAAGTCCTGCTGAATTCGAAGAAGTTGATAATCATGTCTTCCAGGTAAATATCCATCTTTATTGGACTGGTTTAAAAATAAAAACAGAGTTATGGCATACATGTACATAGGCAATGCTGTTCAAACAACAATGTAATAATACAGTGAATGACAAAGATCTTTACAGCGAAAAAATAACCAGTCTGTTGTCCCCAGCGTTAGGTTCGTCTCATCTCGCCATGGGAAACAATAACTCTGCTCGGTATAGTTGTTCAGTCATGAGCAGCTACGTGGACCTGTCCCTTGACAGCATTCAGGACCCATCGAGTCATCAGTCTCTCGAAAGACTAAAATATAATCTTCTCAAATCGCAGAGAATATATATATCTTCTTTGATTCCTAGATTAATGAAAAAATACCCCGAGACTGCAGTTGTTGTATTCAAATAAGCCCTTGTATGTAGATTCTTGTGTCTGATGTACAAATGCGAGTGTTTTGTTACATGCTTCTCATTTCACCTTTTGCTGTATGATACAGATGTTCATAGATATTCTTCCATTTCAGGTTGTACAGAAAGAGTATTCGGCTTTTACTGATCTGGTTAAAGATTTAATAGTTGGATGTGAAACAGATCTGGAAAAAGCCAGGTAAATACCCAAACAATTATTTTATTCAAGTTTCCAGGAGCTTACACAAAGGCTGATTTTTACAAACAATTCGACCTCATATTACCATTTACAACTTGCACCTCTCATTATAGCTATTTAGTAATTATAGATATTCTCCACGAGGTAGTATATGGTTACTATTTCTAGAATAATATGCATTTAAAATATCATTGAACAAAAACCAGTAAACGACGCCCCCCCCCCCCCTCACCCCGCCACACTCCCCCCCCCACACACACAAACACAGACGAGCCCAGTTCTAAGTGTTATGCTGTGTTCCGAAAATAGTAAAGATATAGGAATAAGTGTATTCGTAGATTTTATATGTAAAAATTTGTATATTTTAGAGCTATATTCCGGTGGATAACATGTAAAGATTTAAATAAACTAGATGTTTGTGAGACGGTGAATCCTGAATCACCTCTGGGTTTATTACGTGGCATTAAATATGGTACCGAGACATACCATGATTTATTTAAACGGCTGTGCAGGTTAGTAAACTAATTATTTCTTATCTTTTGTATAACAAAACCTGGCTTCTGAACTGCTTTTGGTCACACCCCTCATGAATCATCGAGCTAGTTCTGTAATCACACGGCTTCAGGTTCGACAATTGCCTTGCCTCGGGTTGTATCGTTGTGATCGCTGTATTCCAGTCTAATAATCTGTCATTAGATACTGATGGGGATAGTGCATGGTAAAATTAACGTAGCACGATTGTTCTTTGTCCCTATCCCTGAGAAATGAAATGTAGATCTCGGAGCTTAATATACTCTCAGGGCGATTTTGCATGAAAAATTGTATATTCGGACACATTAGAGCCCCTACCCCGTTTAATATGTCTATGCTCATTACTAAAATCAACAGTCGATTCGAATTTTGACCAAACGCAACGATGACGTTTGCTTACGCTGAATAATTATGCTATATGGTTGTGTTGCTGGATCGGAAATACGTGACTCAGGACAATATGCTAATGGTGATGATTGTGATGAACAATAAAAAAAACAGCAACCATGGAGACGTCTCCGGTTGGCTCTCTAAAAATGTGCAGAATGTTATTTTATTTATTTCTCCGTTTCAGTTTTGCTGGGTTATATTGTGAGGTTATCCAGGGATATTCTAAAGGTGCGGGGTATAAACCAGGATTGAAGATGGACGGAGAAAGGTTCAGGAACTCCTGGACAGCGGTCAGTATTGATGGTTCCTGGTGTTTCGTCAACAGCAATTGGGGAGCCCGACATGTAAAGGGAAATAACTCTGCCGACAAAGAAAACAAAAATCAGTTTTTTTACGAATGTGATGAGTTTTATTTCATCACAAATCCCGAGGACCATATTTACCAGCACTTTCCTGACGATTCAAGGTGGCAGCTTCTGGAGTGTCCAATATCCTTATCAGAATTCATTAGCCTCCCGGTTGTCAAATCTTCCTTCTTCAATTATGGACTGAAATTCACGATGCATTACGAATGTAAACAGTATTCTAAAAATGGACTTATAGTGATACAACTAAGAATACCAAATATTCTGGGCTTCGGATACACTCTAGATCCAAAGGACAAGGGCATAGAGCCGTCAGCATTGGAAGGACGAGTGATGTTGTGTATCATTGGGCACAAGGCAATTTTCACAGTAGCGCCGCCTAAACCCGGCAAATACTCTTTCACAATATTTGCCAAAGATAACTGGTGTTCAGAGTCATTACAGAGTGCGTGCGCATTTGAACTCAAGTGCCGTGAACGTCGAGAAAAGATCAAAAGCCCCTACCCCAAAGTGTCTTTCTTCGGTCCTACTCCGAGTATGAGTCTTTATGGTTTAATTCCTCAAACTCACATCGACCCGGTCATGGTTTACAGCCATGATGATATTGTCATTCAGTTCGAACTTCATCAAGATGTCAAACTATCGCATTCATTGTGTTACCATGGTAGAGAAAAAACAGATTATGACTTTCAGCGATACGTTTTCATCAAACAACGAGATTTTGACTCAGTGTGTTACCAAATCAGGTGCCCTACAATGGGCAAGTTTGTGTTTTCCTTATTTGGAGCCCGTGTTACCTCACCAAATGACAACAACAGTCCTCTAGAGTGTCTCTTTCGGTATCTTATAGAATGTCGTAACGTTACTAAAGACAAGCGCCCTCTACCTCGCGCATGTCATCGATGGTGTGGTGCTGATCTTCTCGAACCCAAGTATGGCGACGTCGGCTTAGAACAAGCTGCTACGTTTCGTGTTCGAGTTCCTGCTGCTTCTGACGTAGCTATGTTGATAGGCGATGCTTGGTTTCATTTTCGGGAATTGGCTGACAGTATTTGGGAAGGCACTGTATTAACGGGGAAGAAGCCTTGTATAGCCAAGTTATATGGTAAATTAAACAAAGAAACTAGTAGGTTCTCACCTTTATTAGAATTTCAAGTCAAGTGAAATTTGACAATTAGCGATTTTTATGTGATTAATTTATATAAAAGAAACTCATAGAAGGTGGTTAATACTAGATTCACACAGGAACATTAACGCATTTCGAAGAAAAAACTTCCCTCAGACAAAATGACGTCATGAACAGATTGCGATATAACTATTTATATTTAGGGCGTTCTTATGAGAATCGCAATGCACATATGATTAATCTATAACTGTTGTCGAATTTTAATATGTTGATATAAACACTCAATTGGTTTTAATTTGGAATAGCGTCTAGTCGTTCGTATGGGACGAAAAACTGGGGTCCCATGTACACGCTTGTGTGCACGTAGAAGAACCATTGACAGTTGGAATCCGATGAAGTAGACCGAAACGCCATTGTGCGGATAAAATTTCCCTTGTAGTCTTCATTGGCCCGGGGTTGGTGCAGACAAGTAGGACGCTAAACCTTATTTCATTTCATTTCCGTTTCATATTAACATTCAGTTTCGTCTATGTACGTATCAGACGTTACCCTAAATTATCTGACGAAGCAATCCAATGATATCGACTCTGAAATGTCATATAACCACATTAGTTTTATCGACTTGGAAGTATTGTCTTTGACTACAATAACAATGTATAAAAAATGGACTGGCGTGTATAGAACATATTTTAAAATCAATACTATTTTATAACTTAGCATAAAAATGGTGACTTTAAATGAAACGAAACCTGTATAAACTTCCAAATGCCGTATTAACATATTTGAATAATTTTATGAGTAAATATGCTTGTTGATTGGGTGTGATCTTAAACTCTGAATTTGACTTCTACCGACATGTATTGTTCCTTTATCTTATAAACTTCCTGACAATTCAAAGACCTAACCCGCCGCACACTATCCAACTTTTAATGAGACGGAGCCTATAACTAGGTCGACAATGCGCGTTAAGCAAGCAGAATCTTCTGTTATACAATAACATCTGCTACCAACAATAAAGTCGAATAAAAACATCGAAACTAATTTGACCAAAAGTTGCATCGTGTGTGGCTAGCCTTAGGCGCTATAATTGTGTTGATGATTTATTGTTATGTTGTTTTGTCTAAAAATCAAATTAGAATAATAATAAAAAAAAAAACGTTGATTTATCATATTGTTATGTAATATACAGAGTTGTTGTTTCTTTAAGGTGGGGGTGGGGGCATGGGCTCTTTGATTATTGGACTGGCTCACTAGCTAGGATGTCCTTGACCGAGAAAGGAAATTTGCAGACTGACTTCCACTTGTCACGTGAAAGATCCATTGGCAGTTAGAATTTGAAGAAGGGTAGAGTGAAACGCCACTGTCCGGGAAAAATTGCCTCTATAGCATGGCGCATACCCGCATAGCATATTGCATGGCGCATACCCTTATAACATACTACACCATGGCAAATACACTCATAGCAAACTGCATGCCGCATACCTCTATAGCATACTACACCGTGGCGTATACCCTTATAGCATATCGCCTGATATAAGCCCCTTTTCAGTATTCCGGTTGGTGCAGGAAATGGGACGTTAAACCACATTTCATTTTGCAGTTTGATGAAGAATAGGCGGGAATGTCGCTGTCCGGGCCAAAGTTCCCGCAAATCACAGTCCATTGCGTATGCCCGTCTTCAGTATACTATAGTGCAGTTTGTGCAGAATGTAGGACGTTAAACTCCATTGCATTTCCCTTTGGAATTCAATAAGGATTAGGAGTAATTAACGCAAAGGACACTTCATGATATATACCCGTCTTCAGTAACCTGTAGAACCTTAAACTAGATGTCATATCATTTTATTTAAGACATGGATTACCAAGGCTAGGGATGCAAACATAGTAAACTTTTTTTTATGATGGTTATCAGGAACAAAGTTGCAAGACACCCCTTTTCATTGGCTAATCTCTTTCACCAAAGAAATCGCCTTTTATTTAAAAATCCATGAAGATCATAGTGTCGTGAAGGCTAATGAAACAACATATTATAAACTATATAAATCTAATCGTAATAGGGCATATATGGTTCAATAGTATTAGGGGTGAGGATGGTGGTACAAATTTAAGTACAACACAAATAGGGGATCACGTGGCTAAGTGGGTAAGGCGCTGGCTCGCTAGCCTGGAGGTCGGGTGTTCGATCCCTGCATTGGCCGAGAAAGTTCATCTCGATTTTCCGGCGTGGTTTCCCCTTGTCAGTTATGCAGAAAGGAGGGCCTGACAAGGACAGCTGCCTAGTCGTTCGGATGGGACGAAAAACCGAGGTCCCGTGTACACATTGGCGTGCACGTAAAAGATCCCTTGGCAGTTGGAATTCGATATAAGAGTAGGCCGTAGCGCCGCTGCCCGGGCAAAATTTCCCTTATAGCACACTGTATGGCGTATGCCCGTCTTCAATTAGCCCAGGTTAGGTGCAGAAGAGTAGGACGTTAAACCCCATTTCATTTTGATGGCCCTCAGCAGAAATACATATCTATAACGGAGTTCTATCCTTTGATGGGCATTCATTGACTTAAAAACAACGAAGCAGACCATCAAAACGTTCAGTGTTGATTAAATCGTTTAATTTCTTGCATAAAGAAATATCTGCGACGGCGTTCCATACTTCAGTGGCCATACTTGAGGTAAACGACGAATCAGCGCTCAAATTAAGACAACTTGTCTGCGATATCACCATCGGTGGAAGCGGACGCCAAACAATAATAAAATAACAAGATGGCGCAGTGCTGATGACATACGATTAAATGTCATGTAATTTCTAACAGAAACAAATATCTACGACGGCGTTTCATTCTTTGGTGGCAATACCTGACTTAAAAACAACGAATCTATCCATCAAACCGCTGTGTGATTGAATGTCATAGAATTGTTAGCAGAAAGATATATTTACAACGGCGTTCCATACCTTCACTTGAACGGTGAATCAACCGTATAGAAATTGCTTTCAACAAACTATAATAAAATTAATATACATGTACATTGTACAGGGATAATAGTCTTTCTATATCATGTATGTAGCGGTCGATGAATGTACGAGTTCTCATATAAAGCTTGTAATCTATTATAGTCTCGTTCTTTTCTTATACTTCAGCGCACAGAAAACCTTTTATGTCGTTCAAAATGAACATAAAACATAAACGGCTGCAAACAACGTCCACCTTGTTAAAGGTGCGACAATTCTTTAACTATAGAAATTAACCAGCATATATATGTTAGTCTTCTACACGTTTCGTCTTGTTCTTGTGTGAATACTGTACATCTCAGAAAAATATTGAGACGTGGACCTCACATTGTTTACAACATCTTATATGAACATTCAAGACAGTAGATCGGCTCAAGTCGAAAATTGTACTTTAACCAATCTTCAAACCCAACATTGGCATCACAAGATTACTGAACAGCGACGCAAGAATACTGCAGGGGCAGCACCATTAGATGCAAAGTCTCGAAACAATGCACCATTCAGAAAGAAAAACAGAAAATATTTAAGGAAAACCTATTAACGCCTCTTTAACAAAAGTTACTTTAATAGAAAGAAATAGTTTGAGCAAGATATCCTTATTACTCTCGTTAATAATTAGATTTTAACGATACATTCCACAGTAGCCGTTCAGTTTGTCGTTTAATAATCTCTGATTTATTTGAGTAAGAATAATTACTATGAATGTTTTCTTAATGTAAACCACATCTAATAATTTGGCAGTTTAAAAACTGTTATCCTAAATATGTGACGTTATGTCAATAATTATTATGTCCTAATGGAAATAAACCAGTTTAATGGAAAGCTATATTATATTAAGTCGTGGCTATTTACTCCATGGCTCATACTAGTTTGTTGAAGGTTTTCGGAGTTCCTATATCGGAATTACTATATCGGGATTGCTTAAATAACAGAAAGTGCAGGAGGAGCACACTACACGCAAAACAAAACCGATAAGACAACCCGCGGACAATACATGCTACACAGACTATGCAAGAAATAAAAAAAAACAAATATCAAATCAAATGAATGGATCTGGGGGTGTGGGGTGTGGGGTTAAACCACCGTCCATTGCGATGTACAGTCCCAGGTCTGTAATTATACAAGCTTTACTCACTCAAAATGGAAATCAAGGTTGCATGTAAGATTTGAGACAATTCCACCTATCCACGTCTATGATATAAACGTTATTTAAGTTTTAATTTATGAGTCGTAAAAATATTGGTGCTAAATGCGTTCTATTTTGATATTCAAAATTAATTACGTTTATTTTCTTGGGACATTGTCATTAATCCTTCTTGGGGGAAGACTCCATTAAAAATGATAAACGGGTGTTTACCCCATCTGTCTGCGATTATGGGTCTTATCTGGATATGACTGACCTTTCATTTGCATAATCCATACCGTATATAAATATTAGAAAAGGGATTTCTAATATAGAGTGGTGGCTTCCGAGCTCTGTTCAAAATACCTCGGATAATCAAGTCAGCCTACACACTGAACCTTTCCGTTTTGTGAAAAAAAATACCCGACCATATTCTATTTAAGGAACTTTTGTAGGAATGTCATGGTGATTTAAAAATGAAGATAGAATGCTAGGGAACAAAACACACAGCAGCTAACTCACCCAGCAAGTCCATAAAGGTCGTCGCATTATGAATCGTTAGGTAAACAAAAAGCAACAAAGTTATACTTCATAATATCATTAATGAGACCATATAACAGAACTCTGTAGGTAATCATCAGAAATTGATAAAACTCTTTGTTTCATTAGTCTGAACAGTGCAGATCAGATGGCAACTTTTGTCAATGGAGCGTTCACGTGATATTACAAAGTATACAATGACCATAATTTAGAAGTAATTAACCAGTCAAAATTCAATCAACTTCTTCGGTTCCCTAATTTAACCAATGCATGCATTTCAAGCAGATCAGTTTATGAGTTTTGAAGCCAGTGCTGTCACAAGATATTACAAAGTGAACAGTGCTGATATAGCTCTAGAAGGAATAAATGGAAATTCAATAGGATTCTTCACAGCACTAATCTAAACCATGCTTTCATAGTCTTATATGTCTTACATACACATTTATTTTTAAAATTCGGGTGATAAATGTTGTTTATTGTGTTTTCACAAATAATTGTGGACAATAATTTACGAACAAGTAATTGTGGACAATAATTTACGAACAAGTAATTGTGGACAACTGGCGTCGGACAGGAGTGACGACAATTTTCGACCATATTGACCGATACCCTACCAATCTAAGCTAGGTTTCGACTCTGCCCGTTTCGATCAATCCAAAATAGCATTATGTTTTTTACTGTGTGGACTAAATTACGGGCAATTTATCACGCTTAATGTCGATCTCTATACGAACACCCAAACTAAATATTGAAATGAAAAGAAACGAGTCTTGACAACAACATTAGTTATAACTGTTTATGACGATTCAGATTTCTATAGAATATATGTAACTGGGACTAATATAGTTATATTCTTTGTATACATTCAAAGGCCAGAGATAAATCGAAATATTGGACATTTATACATTTGGTTCAGGTAAATATTGAATTTATAAATTTTCTATATTAAAAAACATTAGTAAAAGTAGCCATGATAATGTTTATTAACCAGATATTATTGATTCTAATCTTAAAGGTATAAATCAATATTAGTAACAATAGACATGACTGAAATGAAATGAAATGTGGTTTAACGTCCTAATGTCCTGCACCGACTGGGTTAATGAAGACGGGCATACATAATACAGTATGCTGAGAGGAAAATTTTGCAACCATACGGCCCACCCAAATTCCAAATGGATCTTTTACGTGCACGCCAATGTGTAAATCTCGGTTTTTCGTCCCACCGAAAATAACAAATCAATATCAATAGCAATAAAAGTTTTACCTTTTATAAATATATTTAGTTTTTAATTTCTACCGTTCATCGTGGATGGGGGCAGAATAGTCTAACGCCTCGTGTTTCCCCTTGTCAGGACAGAGGACTTTGCAAGGAATATGGTCTAGTTGAAATTCCGAGGTCCTTAGTAAGTCATTGTCAGAAAGTTAAAAAATCCCCTGACAAACGGAAAGAGAATTAAGAGTAGGCAGTTAGGTCGCTGTCTGGGCAAAATTTACTCGGTAGCATAAGCATGCTCGTCTTTTTATTTGAATTATGCCCAGTAACGAGAGGACATTATCAACCAGGAAAGTGTGTTCAGACAGTTTCTGCTGTGTATCCGTGCCGGATTAGGGCTCTGTCGGCCCTAAGTCACATTTTAATAGGTGGCCTGAAAATACAGATATTTTGGGTTTACCGATTAAAGGAAAAAAGTTAAATTTAACAGAAATTTATGACGTAGATGTAGGAGGGTTCCATTTATTTACATAAAAACAAAGGGGAGCATTTTTGCTAGCCCCTGATAATTATCAATTTTTTTTACTTTATTTTTTTGTGGTCTGGAAAGTTGGCTGACCTTAATGCGCGTGCCTTATTTGAATAATAGTTAATCCGGCACTGGTGTGTACGTAAACGAAACCCTTGAGATTTGCAAAGACTTACATTCAGTGTAAACGATTCATTATACCCTTGTGGTACGAACCAAGGATGAAGGGGAAAAAAACAATTGGGGGGGGGGGGCGTTCATCCGTCGTCACAGCCAGATTGCTATTTTGTGAATAGACCGATTAATGTGTTATTACATGTATAATTTCATTATAATGGTGTGGGTATATACGATAATTATTAATTAGGCGTGATGATCAATAATTTTCTATGAGACCAGTCAATGTAAACTGATTGTTGATCGGGCGCTATCTTGTTAACTTATGTAGGTTCATATTTCGGCCGCATCCGCCGTATTTGCCGAGGAAAAATGATACCCCCCCCCCACCCACCTCAGGAACATTAACCCGTACGCCTATGCCTTGTCCATTATATTCAATTATTTGATATAGAAATCCATTGGCCCAGAATCTGCATGTATGACACGGGAATACAAACTACAATAAACATTTAACTGAAAATGTCAGATGAGTGAATCAATGTTATTAAATGTTTTATAGTTTCAGATATTTCACTGAATCGATCGATCCATTGACGCACTACAGGCCACCATGCCACTATGGGTGTGTCCAGGAAAACGAGCGTGTATTAAGGCCTTTACCTATCCTCAAGGTGTTAGAGCTCACACGCCTGGGTGTAATGACGCCAAACGTCGACAGATAATACTAGAGACTTATTACAATAAGAAAATTCCATTATACGGTGCTATGGAATTCCGTAAAGACACTGAAAAGGGAAGCATAACTCTAGCTAGAATTGGCGTTAGGCAGTACAGAAAATCATCAGCTACGTACACAAGAGAGTAGTCCTATTACAATTACCAAACAGCACAGTATAAGAAGTTTGTGTTCTTTGTCTTGAGAAAGAATACTTTTAACATCATAGCGATCAGAGAAAGAAAGTTGTTTTTAAAGAATTATTAGAATGATGTTTGTGTACTTCGTTATGTTTCTGTATTACTGTATACCTTTTATAAAATAGTATACACCGTATGTCTTTGTGGATATATTCAAATAAATTCTGCAAATAGCAATGCGTCGGGTTGTAGCACGTTGGATTCCTCGGCAATCACCCTATCTGGGTCTTTTTCTTCGTGTTAGACGTAGTAGTGGTTTTCCATGGGATTTTATAACAACTTTCGGAAAACAAGGGGGCGTACTGGTATAGGGGTGCAGTGGATCCTAGACCGTTGGGCGTCGTCTGAGGACCCAGGGGAGACAGGAGCTTATCGGATCCGACTGACAATAAAAAAAAATTAATGAAATTCATCTTGATGTCTATAACGTAAAAATATAATGGCCTAAATCCCAGGAGAAAATTATCTATGATTGGGGTGTAGTAAACGCGATGGGGGCCCAAAGAAAGCAGTTGGGCCGAGGGCCAAGAGCTACCCAGTCCGCCTCTATACTCTAATTAAGAGTTCAACACATGTCTTCTTTGACCATAGTAGGATCAATCAACGTGATCTCCAATACCATCTTTCCCTCACTTTAGTCGCCATGAAAGCGGCATTTTTCAGGACTACCCTGGTGCCCTAAAAAGATCATCATTCTCCCTGGATATGGGTTCCGAGTGGAAATACTCAAACCTGGACACAAGGAACCTGTCACATACTTTGTAAAGTACAAATTATCCCACAAGGTACATATACAAGCCTGGGCATAAGATACCAGTCATAGACATTATCAGACACAAATTATCACGTACAACCGGGGAATCGAAACCACACCAGTTCACTCAACGACAGACCTTACGATTTCACGCGCACGCGTTAAACCACTAGACGACCCAAACCCCCTGAGAAGATGCAAATAATGATTCATAAAAATTCCTCTGTGATCATCTTATCCAAAAAAAAAGAAAATATATTAATGAAACATGTTCCGACGGATCAAAATCATTTTCATACTATCTAAATCCTTCAAATCCACGAATTTCCGTAATTGGCACCCAATAACATTTTGTCCATATACAGGGTAGGAAACTTAAAGCTCATCAAACACATTACAGTCTCTGTGTGTCGATTGCATTTTGCCAACTATGTCTAATTCTTCATGACATAATCCACGCTAAAATGTACGTGTTTATTTAACATATAGGTAAGTATAGGTAATGTCAGGGCTTGCATTCATTCGGATTAAAAAGAAAAATGGAATAAGGTTTAACTTCATACGGGAGCCACGGTGGCTAGGTGGGTAAGGCGCTGGCTCGCTAGCCTGGAGGTCGGGTGTTCGATCCCTGCAATGGCTGAGAAAGTTCATCCTGATTTTCCGACGTGGTTTCCCTTTGTCAGTGATGCAGGACGGAGGGCCTGAAAAGGACAGATGTCTAGTCCTTCGGATGAGACGAAAAACCGAGGTCCCGTGTAAACATTGGAATGCACGTAAAAGATCCCTTGGCAGTTGGAATTCGATATAAGAGTAGGCGATAGTGCCGCTGCCCGGGCAAAATTTCCCTCATAGCACACTGTATGGCGTATGCCCGTCTTCATTAGCCCAGGTTAGGAGCAGAACAGTAGGACGTTAAACCTCATTTCAATTCAATTAACTTCATACTTTTCTACCAATGATATCGTCGGCATTGAACGCCGCATGTTGATAAATTTTCAATTCATCATAACAATATCTTTGTAACTATTGAACGAAACCGAGTCGTTTTATGAGTAATATTACTTTTAAAAATTCAGCTGTCATATCATTGTAGCTTGCAAGAGATTAATGGGCCCCTAAAATGACTTGATGTAATTCGCTAATAAATAAATCAAAAACGTACAATTTGTGCATCAATAAAAATGTTAAAGGTACGATTATTCTGAAATTACATGACCACTCTCCACTTTCAAATATCAAAAGTCAATTAATGATAATTATGAATATAACGAATTAATGACATTTATATTTGAATATAACAAATCACCGGTGTATGTGGTGTTGGATGGTTCATTAAGTCACAATAGAGTTAATTTAACCCCCTAGTTATAACTTATACAGGTATTAACTGTATTTTATACTGATAACAACGTCCAATATTGACACCAGACAATCAATATAAGATCCACTCCACCATTATAGATCCACTAAAGCTCTTGTGTTTATCGAGCAGTGGTTGCTATGGACGCGTGATTTTAAATAATGTGATATCTTATGTAATTCGATCTTTATAATCCACTACCATTTTAATACTCGTGTAGTAAACGTGGGATTTGATTCATGCATACTGCTAACATGGATATTAGAAATAGGAGCACAAATCTAACAGATAAACTTACAACTCATTATAAAAGCAACAAGAAAAAGAGCGGATTAATACCTTCTGTAGGATTCTTAAATAGATGTGCTCCGTTATGGTATATCGTGGTTATAATAGGCGTGGCTTATTGGGGAATATCGGACGCTCTACCCTCTATATACGGTAAAAGGAGTATATTACTGTTAAACATTAACACGTGTCTATGTTATGTTATATTTATAGAAGTAATGGTGAACTGGGTGTGTATTCATGTTGTCGATAGCAGTTATAAACCACATATACATGGAACCAAGCAAACTGAAGACAATGGTTCCGATGCCACAGTAACAATCGAATCATCTCCTTCCTCTCAAAATAGTGAACGTCAGAGCAAGTTTAATTATAAAATATATGTTGCTACCGGAGTATCAAAGACGGATGGTAGCGTTGAAAGAACTGCATATCCATATTGGTCGTGGGTACCGTGTTTGATCTGCCAGAAACTAAGACCACCTAGATGTCATCACTGCACCTTGTGTGGAATTTGTGTGTTAAAAAGAGACCATCACTGTTATTTTGCTCGGGCTTGTGTTGGCATCAATAACCAAAGACATTTTACCGTATTTTTATTCTGGGCATTATTTGGTACTGTTTATTCGTCCTGTCACATGATACTCTATTTTTTCGGCGAAGTTCTTCCCGTCATGAAATATATCGACATTGTTCCGCCTATCGCATTTGTTCGCGCCGTATTCGGTTATCAAGATTTTGTGATCAGTTTTATGATGTTACTCGCCTGGGGTTTGTTGGCTTTCACTATTCTAACGTGGGAACATTTCAAAGAAATGATTTTTCTTATAACTAAAAGTACCACGAGTTTTGAACATATGAATGAAATCACAATATCCGACTCGAGAACATTACAAGATAAACTATATTCTGTGTTCGGGCATTACTGGGTGTTGAATTTCTTCGTACCTGTTCATATGTTCTTTAAACCGATTGAAGACCCTCTTTATTGGCCTTCCATCAAGTTATAAATCCCCCTTTTGTGTATTACTGGGAGATGCTATTATCGATGGACAGAGAAGTTTATAATCCTCTTTTTCAGTATTACAGTAATTCCTGATGCAATTACGGTCTCTGGGCTTCCTGACTACTATTCCTCGCCTTGCAGAATTAAATTGATATCTAATAAGATGACGATAAGAGGATACTTGTCGAAACGTCGTGCTTTTAGAATAAAACTAGGGGTTGTTTTCCATACAAATTGTGTTCTGTTATAATATATTCATTCCTTAATTGCTAAACGCCACTTAAGGATTAAACAGGCATTATGAAAGAGCTAAATCCGTCTATATGTTATAAAGATGATTAATTAGACACTAATTAACTTACCAATGGTGGTAACTTAATGAGTGTTTAAATAATCATTTTTATAACATTTCAGGCCTAATGGTCCAAGAGCATAATCCACTCTCGATGCCATCGGATGGCTGTGAAATAAGTAGTTTTAAATAGTTTTGTGGTCGACGCGGTTACCGTAAAAAGGATAATCGAGACTTTGGTTATAAGGACAATCAAAGCTAGACCATAACTATATCGCCAATATCTAGGTTCAGAGTGAAAAAATCTGGCTGAAATTTTCAGCATATACTCTTTTCATTATCTATTTTTTGTAACTATTATAGCGAGAACTGTCAGCTCTGTCTAATCTTACCTAATGTCGCTTTAATTAAGATTACTCAACAGAATATTGCAATAATATTTAATTAACTAGTACTTCAGTGATATGGGGCTACAGGACTGTATCACATGTGTGGGATAATCTTTTCCCGGTTCTATATAATTGTTTATGCCAGCTAATTTATATCATAAGGTATGTCTTTGAGTCAACTGGCGTGGTTTCGATTCCACGGTTGTACGTGACAAGGCGTAGTGCCGTCTGTCTAACCTCGTGGGTTTTCTCCTGGTCCTCCGGTTTTCTCCCACTGCTAAAGATGCCTACGCGCAAGCGAATTATTAAAATAAAATTGAACCATATGACCTGTGTCGAGTTGACGTGAAACCCCATTACTTCTCTCTCCCAAACACATTACAGGATTACGCGGCCTCACTGAGTGACAAAAATATTGTATTTATTTCATGCTCTATTTAAACATACATTATGCAAGAGCTAAATCTGTCTATTACAGGTCTTTCTTTAGGCCTGAAATGTTATCTAAATTATTAATTAGACATTAATTAAACTATCCAGACCATAATCAACTCTAGATGGCATCGCTAGCCTGCGATCTTTCGTGGATTGTGAGCCGATTTACTGCATAACTTTCCTTCACGATTTAACGATTAAATGGATAATCGAGACTATGCTGTGTATCGTACTGACTTTAGTAATGATGATCAAGGCTAGCCGGAAATTTCAACCGCTTAGTTCTCGGTTCATAGTGGATCAATTTGGTTTGTTTTCAAATTCATTATATCAATATTGTATATACACGTGTCGTACTCAAATAAAAAACATTGTTTAAACCATACTCTTTTGTTGACTTATATGAATGGTCGACATATGGATGGCTAGTCATAATTACGGCCTATTTTACTTAACAAAAGGAAAATTTTATTACAAGCATAATTTTATAGTCGTCACTTATATTTGAGAAGAAATATAAAACTGAATAACGTTGAGACCGGGGTCAATAATTGGTAGATGTTTAATCCCTTGCAAGCAACGCTATTGAGAAAGGTGTATATAAATGCAATATCAGTGCAAAAATGGTTCAATTCCGTTCAATATTTACAAAGATAAGAAAAATTACAAATTTGTAAGCATTCACTGCCATTCTGATTAAAATATAGATCCTATTTCGTTTCGTTTTTTATAGTTCAGAATTTCGTTTTACTTGTCTTTACTACACTCGGTCATCCAGAACCTCCTAGTCTTCAACGTACGGGGGTAGAATATATATAATCGGATTGCATTCACTGTCGACGATAAAAGTTTAGAAAGTCAGAGGAAAAATTTGGGGATCATTTAATCCGACAGAATCCAAGTTGGCGAATTATATACCGTCGATATTTTGATTTGTTTCTTAAACCGTTGGCAAAAAGGTTGAGAACCACTGCCTTATGCGCTACAAGCATCCTGTCAGTGTGGAATAGCGTTATACGAATGTTCAGATTATATTATTTTATTATTAAATGTTATCTAAATTATTAATCAGACATTAACTTACCAAGACCATAATCAACTCTCGGTGCCATCGGGTGCCTGTGATATTTAGTGGATTCAAATACGTTTTCTGGTGGATGCGGTTACCGTAAAGATGGATAATCGTAACGGCGGTGGTATTAATGACGATCGATGCTAGTCTATAATTGTATCGCTAATATCTTGCCAAATGGTGATGTCATTAGACTGAAATTTTCAGCATATTCTCTTTTCATTATCTATTTTTAACCACCATAGCGAGAACTGTCAGCTCTTTATCTAATCTTACCTAATGTCGCTTTAAGTAAATGTTTAATAATCAACTAATTACATTTTAGCTTTGATTAAGCCCGGAGACGTGGGTTTGTTAGAAAAATGAAGATCCGACAATTGCGTCCCTCCACACCTCGGCACTAGAGTCGGATGCGGGGCAATCAGGCATGTCGAAAATGTATTAGAAATTTATTACTAGAACATACGTAACAAAATCGGGATAATTTGATACATGAGGCTACCAATCCACAATAATGCCGTTATGCATTTCAAAATTCAAGCCTTACGATTACATGTATTCAGAAAATAATAATAGCATATTTCATTATCATAAATTATCTGCACATTTATACTGGATACCAAAATCTGAATTCTAAAAAGGCACCTCTTTATCTAATGTAAGTGCAGTTTATACAGTACAAAGCGCAGAATTCTCCAATCACGACTCATTTTTCGCAATTACAAAATATTTTTTGTTGAACACATAGTACGTATATTTTACATATTTATTTACAAACTACAGATTCTCACAGCTTCTTCATTTTATTACCAAGTATTCCTATTGCCATTGCCCGGAAATTCTGCTTATCAGAAAACTTGAAAAGTGTACACGTACATGTCATATTTTGGGCGTTAAGATAAATGCTCTCTGTTTCTCTCACATACCTATACCAACACACACAAAAACACCCTCCGCTGCTAGAGTTTATTTTTCGATAAACCTGGGTAACACAGGTAAAATAAGATTACCAAAAGAAGATTCTTGAGTTATAAAATATCCAACGGAATTGACATGAGCATGTTGGAGGGCGGCTCTCTGTTGAGGAGTCATTATCTGCGTTTCAACCACTAGCTGTGAACCAGATGTACTCAATACCGGCGAGGTGGGAACAGGGGTCGCCTTTGTCGTCGTCGAAGGTAATGATACACTATTTGAAACATTTGAGTTCAAGCTGCTCGAACCACCACCGTGAGCTTGCATACGTAGTCGCTTCTTTTCTTCTTCTAATTGTTCCAAAATGTTACGATTTCTACCCTCCTGGGCACTTCCCATTGACTGGAATGCCATTCTTATGGGTATTGGCATTAAAACTTCAAATCTTTACACAGCCACTTAAAGATATATATCTGGAAAAGAATTTGCATGAATTTTTAAAGCAAAGAAAAAAAAGAGAGTATTATTATTGTAAATGTGGTACCGTATATTTGTTTTTGTTATATGTTTTTGTTTTGATTTCCAAAATTCAAAAAATAAATAAATAAATAAATAAATATCCAACCATATCAATCCCAGCAATGGTTTTTTTTCACTGAAGCTAATATGGTCTTCTTTTTTTTCTTTCTATCTTTCTATTGCTACAGTATTATTATTATTGGGCAGACTGAATATTTATATCGCCATATGATTGGCCGTATACCGTATAGCTTTCTCTCACACGCCTATACAATTTAACACGAAAGTCTTTGACTTCTAGAATTTATTTATCAAGAAACCCAGGTAACCTGGGATTCTCAATGACAGAAGAGTAAGAAGTTTCAATTTCGACCGAATTTTTCAGAGATACGTGTGTCTTCCTGAAAGTCTGCAATTTTTAGAACGCAGTTATCTCCCGTGGGCAAAATAAACGAGCACTTGTTTGCTCGTCACTAGATTTTGAACTAAAAGTAATGGGATTGTTTTCCTTCAAACATTACCTGCTGTTCAAAACGAAAATGGCCTGTTATAGTCCAGATGAAAACCAAATTGTTCCTAAAGCATACGTCGTTTTTCTACGTGTAATTAACTTACTCTCGATCTCAACTCAATTTTTTCTTTTTTTTCCCCCTTTTCATTATAGAGTAATCTGCCCCTTACTTTTTAGCCAATCAGAGCTCGAGTTGACTAAAAATAGAGAAAAAGGAACAAGATGGTCGACAATGGCTGATCCACTTCGCCGGCCTGAACAAATATCCCCGCGGTCGAGTCCCAGGGATAGGGGATCTAGATCTCCTGCTTGTCCCCGACCCGACTCAACTGGGACTTTAAAAACAACGATAAGTTTGGGAAAAAACCCGTCTGTAAAACACACAGGACCCTTTTATTGTGTCAAAGATATACCAGGTAAACGAAACCGAAACATTGCACATGTGAATCATTGCAGCAATTGCAGAAAAATCTGTTTGATCATCTCGTCAGAGTTATTCAAATGGTTATGTTGTTTACATTGAAGAATGTAGTTGTTGAAAACTATTACAACAATGTTTCTATTTCTAATAAACCATTGGTTTAGCGGTCCATGTTAAAATTTAAAAGTGATCGAATTTCTAAAGGCTTGTAAAGCATGTCATGTAATAATAATAATCAATTTATCAAATAATTCACATTTTATAATATAGCCCATCCGATATAATTACGCAAAACATACTACAGTGTAGTAACTACACACCGCTGAATACATGTATGACTGAATCAGAATTTTATGGTCACTGTCTAGATTTATCATCGGCAGTTTGAGACTGTACTATATACTCCGGTTTCCTCCCACTGATAAAGACCCCTACCTGCAAGCGAATTATTGAAATAAAATTAAACCATATGTTAGTCCCAAAATGACCTAGTTTGTGTCGAGTGGACGTTAAACCCCATTTCTCTCTCTCTCTCTACCAATGGCATCCGATCCTGTCTAATTAATGTCAAAATAATCACTTGAGTTTAATGACTTCTCCATTTTGTTATATTTCAGAGCAATCAGAGATAACTGGAAGTACAAACTTATTACATCACTATGGCCTCGAACATTCTTATAATAAATTCTGTGGAAAGAAAGTTAAAGAGGAACTCAGTGCATTTTTACCTCATTTACCTGGTAATATAGACACACCAGGTGTACAAGACAACAGGTACAGGTATACAAACAAGCTATAATTATATCTACATTCATATTTATTAGTGCTCACACAAATTACTGATTTTTGTTGTTTCATTGAATGCCAGTCGATATGTATGTGAAATTCTTGAATTCACAAAACAAATACAACACTCATGATCACTAGATCCTTATTGAATTACAAATGCAGTACAATTTTTACTGGTGAGGAGACTTTTGCCGGGACGGGGGCGTTTCCTCCTACGCTTTATCAATTTCCAACTGTCAAGGGTTCTTTTATACACACACCACCGAGTATATACAGTGAGATGTAAACAACTAGGCAATACTATATTTGATTTGTTTTACTTCCGTATGTTCTAACCCTGACAAGTGGGAAGCAGGCAAATGTATACATGAAGCAAAATCAAGATCATATTTTGTGGAATTCACAAGAATGAATAATATTTTTTCGTTTGTTCATGTAAACATTTAATATATTTGTCATTAACGTCATTAAATTAAAAAAGCAGGCCCTTTTTGATTTAGGCCACTAAACTGAAGTGTCACTAGAGCAAGCTTTAATTTCATTTTTTACATTAAACCGTCTACAAAAGTTTCCCCCCCCCCCAAAAAAAAACCCTCCAAACCTTTCAGAAAGCTTTAGAAAACATGACATGGCTATGAATGAGATCTCCCACAGGTCCCTACCCCGTAAAAGTACTTGGTTAAATAATTGTATGTTTACTGTTAATCTATGTGATTTTTATTTCAGCTCTCTGCGAATGTTGATAGAAAAACCTCCAATAACTGGTAAAGAATTAAGTCAGTTATCAGGATTAGCATTAACAGGATTCAGACTACATCCTGGACCTGTAAGTATGAACCTTTTTATTGTTGATCTTGATTTGTTTGGTGCATCTTGCTATAGATCTTTAAACCTACTCTGTGTTAAGTAGAACTAAATGTTAGTTTTATTCAGTTATTGAAGCAACAAGCGATTATTGGTAACCGGCCATGCTGTACATATTTTTGAATTGCATGTGCTTGTACATGCCATTTGCAGAAAACTATTCAGGATTTGCCACTGCTAATCATGTGACTAGTCAAAACAGCAGTGCCATTTTGTAAGATCACATGATATTTTAGCTTGCACATATACAGCAATTAGATTGGCCTCTGACATTATGAGATACACAAATTTGACGTAGTATACTATAAACATGTAATTATCACTGTACCAACCTCTCAACTAAGTCATCCTTACACTTCTAAACCATGAATATTTACCAGAAACTGTCAATTCAATTGAATTACCTTTTGTTGACTACAGACAAAAATTCAAGAAACAATGCCATGCAAAAGGGGGAAAAGGGAGAAAGAGATAATTGCTACAAGTATAATACAATGTATAGACATACTACAAATAGTACCGAGATGGTGAATTTAATTGTGGTCTGCACCCATAAGAATAGTTATTTTCTTTGTAGTTACTTCCCCTTGAATGTATGTATCTATTATTCTGGTATACCATAGCTCCACTCTTTCATAATCACTATACAGGTTTCCAATTTTATTTTACAGTTACCAGAACAATATAGAATGATGCATCAAATGCCATCGAAGAAAAAGAAACATAAAAAACACAAGAAGGAAGGTGACAAAGGAAATGCTCTATCTGAGGCTCAGAGTAAGTTCAATTATTACATTTTATTTGCAAAAATAAACCCAACCCAACCAAAAGAGAGAGACAAATGGGGTTTTAACGTCCACTTGAGGCAAGCTAGGTCATTATGGGACAAATATGTTTCAATTTTATTTCAATAATTCACTTGTGCGTTTACAGGTGTCTTTAGCAGTGGGAGGATACTGGAGGACCCTGAGAAAACCCAAATGGTTGGACAGGTGACCCTGCTCCTTGTGCACAGTGTCAGGACCTCAGTTTTTTTGATAAATCTGAACGAATGGACGCTCTTCTTTGCCAGACCTTCTGTTTTGCACCACTGACAAGGAAATCTCAATGAACTTTCTCAAACACCAAGGGCTGCCTGATTAGTGAGCCAGTGCCTTATCTTTATCAATGTGAGGAAACTCGAAGTTGAGGGGAAATACTGAAACAGTTCTCTTTCTAGAAAATATCCTCATGAAACTGTGCACAAATCAACACATTATAGTACCGGTAGTTATCTTTTGCAAATAAGAAATTTCTCACATTTAATGATTTTTTTCTGTTTCTATGGAAACATATTTGACTTATATTTTGGTATACAAGGGTGTTGGATGTTGATGACTCAAGTCTTTTTGTTTCATTCTTGTTTCAGTGGCATATCAGTTTTTTGCTTATTTATTTTATAATGAGTAATTGGAACCCAAGTTTTAGTATTTTTCATTAAGCATTGTTGACCAAACAGCTTGATGGTCTGACATAAGTGACATTAAATTCTTTAACTCTGGCATAGGGGAAAGCCCTTATTTGAGTAGGAAATGGCAGCACTACCCAACATTTCCATAGAAATTAAATCTAGCTGTAACCTAGCTTTAAAATATTATGTTAACAATGATTGTCATTGTCGATAACTGTTTTAACATTTCAAGATCCATATACATTGTATTTATGTTATTCACTTTTCACAGTTGATATTCATAAACACAGGTTAGTTTATCGTTCAGTTTAATAAGTTCTTTGGGCTATTTCACATGTTTGTTCGATTTTCTTTAATTTTTTCTCATTTCATATTTTCTGGTTCAAGTTTACTAATAGGAAGGACCTAATAAAGTTGCTTTTTTTTTGTAATGATTTGCAAAGATGCAAATCCAGTAATTTTATGAAGTTTTGTTTGTTAAATTACATGAACATGTATGTCTTTGCATTGTATAAAATGTTGATAATGTGTTGATTCACAGTATTAAGTTTTTCTTTCAAAGTGCTATCTGGCAAAGAGACTTTTGTCCCCTATAAAATAATTCTTCCTTGAACTAATTTTTTAAACAAAAAAACAACCAGATAAAGGCAATATATATTTATTTCAAAGTTTTATACTTTCAAGAAATCTGAAAATACACCCAAATTAATTGAATTAAAGATTTGAGTATCCTTCAAATGATGATATAGAATATTGGAATAGTAAAATCAGCATTCAGTGTGGAATACTATTTGAAAGGTCCACTTACTATAGATTAATCTTTCTATAGGATCTAGTTTATGTCTTGTGGGGTGAGAGCTGCTGTAGCTCAGTGAGTAAGGTGCTGTCTAACTAACGAGGAGCTCTTGGGTTTGATCTCAATGTTGCTTAGAAAGTTCATAGGGATTTTCCAGCATGGTTTTTTCAGTGTTGCTGGATGTTGGACTGGGCAAGAAACAGCATCTAGTCATTCTGATGAGAAGAAAAAAAGAAGTCCAGTGTACATATTGGCGTGCATGTTTCAGAACCCTTGACAGTTGGAATTTGAAATAATACTAGGCCGCAGCGCATTGTCTAGACAAAATTTCCCTCATAATAGCACATTGCATGGTATATGCCTGTCTTCATTGGCCCGAATGGAACAGAAAAGAAGGATTTTGAACCAGATTTCATTTTATATTTGGGAGATTGATTGATAATTTTTTTATATTGTTTTAACAGCCATAGATAATGCATCTGATGCAGAATCAAGAAAACCAAAGAAACAAAAGAAAGAAGAAGAAAAAGATAAAGATGGAAAGAAAAAGAAGAAAAAAGAAAAGAAAAAGAAAAAGGTACATGTTTTACCTTGAATATAAATCACACAGACTGGTAAACAAATTTCTTTCAAGTTTAAATGTTTTAATTTTGTTACTTGCTGTATTATAAATATATGTTTCATGATTCATGTCAATGAGTAATTTATATGAGAAAATTACTCAACTGCATGTACATGGAAACTTCTGACCTAGAATAGTAGAAATTCTCTTAGACCCAAATAACCCCTTGGTTATTCTCAGAAATAATTTAAACATAAAAATGTCTAGATCTCTTTGATTTAGGTCCAAAATAAAATTGACAATTTTATTTGATTTGTTTTATGTGGGATGACAATCTGTCTTTGTTGAAGATTTTACAATAAAGCCAGTGTGGAGATAACTGATATGTTCCACTGTGGACATTGTAAGCTCAAATTTAAATTAGTAGAGGACTTCAGATTAATCTTTCAAAACAAATATTTAAACGTATAGACCTTGTCCCATGACTTATCAAAACAAATATTTAAATGTATAGACCTTGTCCCATCACTTATCAAAACAAATATTTAAATGTATAGAGCTTGTTCCATCACTTATCAAAACAGATATTTAAACCTATAGACCTTGTTCCATCACTTATCAAAATAACTTGTCACATCAGTCCAATTCAATACAGAGATTGTGTTAGTCCAGTGGTCAGTGCACTGGACACTCGACTAGGATGTCCAGGCATGTGTCAGGAAGAACAATCAGGATTTTTCAAGCCTGACTTTCAGTTGTCAGGGATGGTGCTTGCGAGGCTGACAAGTAAAGGATGCCTTGCATAATAACCATATGGCTGTCCCATATGGATGTGCTTAAGACACATTAAACCCCCTTTCATTACTTTATATTTACCTAAATCAAAGAGTTATAGCTCCTTCAGATTATATAAAGTCCTGTTCTTTAATCTTTCATTTTACTTCTTTATAAACAGCTTTAGATTTTATTATTGTATTTCTTAAGTTTTTGGTGAATTTTTAGCTCTTTGATTGAAGTCACTAAAATTGTCATTTATTTAGGGATTTGAATCCTCTATAAACTCTAAGTTTGTTAAATGTGAATCTCCAAAACAAATATGAGTCCAAACAGGGTTTAATTGTGTTCAGTATTTACATAGATATGCTGAACTGAAAATTTTGAAACATTTGGCATCCTTGGCATTATATACATGTATATATATATAAACAAGCCAGTGCCACCTATTAGTATTTGGTAAAATCTTTTGATGAACTTTATTTTAATTTATTTGAATCCCACCCAAGCCAGTAGGTTATCTGTTGTTAATATTTTGCTTTAGATGTTTTTAAATAATCAATTTGTAGCTATTGTCTGATAAATTTAGGGTCAGCAACTTTAAGGTTTATTATTCATGTTAAAAATATTGTAGATTATATTATAGCATATTAAAATACACTTAGATTTATGTATGAAACTTTCTGTTGTCTTACATTTCAGCAGAAACACAGTCCAGAACATACTGTCTCGCACAGTGGAGAAACAGGTTCTTGATCTGATCATCTTGTTACATATAAACTATTTATATACAAATCATATATTTATAAATCATAATCATCATAGTATAACATACGTATACATACCCACAATTGTCAAACTTCAACTACTTTGATTTATTCACCGTTGAATGCAAAAGAATTGTGTAGCAACAACACAATCTGATTAAAACACAGATCTATATTTCGTTCTGTTTTTTTTATACTTTCGATGGCCTACACTACATGAAGATCTGACCAGTTGTACTGAAAGGTCGCGTCAGGTGTTGTCAAGCGGCTTTTGACCCTATGACATCAATCAGCGTTTACATTTCTAGTTGTTTACCCACAGTTCCGTTATCACATGCCAAGAAGTCGTTGTAACAGATAATTTCATTGGCTAATCGCTCACTTCAACCAGAATGCCTTTAATATAAAAACACTTCCAAATCCTAGTGTAGTAAAGACAAGTAAAACGAAATTTTGAACTATAAAAAACGAAACGAAATAGGATCTGTGTTTTAATCAGATGGCAAACAACATAATCAACCTGAATTTGGACAGTCTCAGTTTACTAAAATATTGATTAAAAAATTGAAGTATACGGTTTAGAAGCAGATTTATAATAGATAGTTGAGTAGCTGTTGAATGTTAAATATATTAATTCTAATTATTATTTTTATTATGAAGTTATCGTTAAACATTAAAATTGAAAATTTTGAATAGCTAAATTAAGACTGCCATGTGTGGCCCTAAGGCCATAGAAAATAAATATTCTGCTTCACAGCCAAAGGTTGCGTACTTAATAAACTAGTCAGATTTCGTAGAGTTTCTTTCCATCACCACAGGAACTAGGATGTGTTTAGTAAAATAAAATGATTATGCTGCCCTGTCAGCAGTATCTTCAAGCCAAAATATTTATTTAGGTGGCCTAAGGCACTTATATTTAATCTATATGGCTGTTCTTATTAGGGTCTAATTACATAAGATGATGTTCATGTGAATATTTTGCATAACAATTCTCCAGAACTTATGAAGAATTCTCGCCTGAAGAGGCCTGATTAATAAAAATGTGAAATTGATTGCAGATTGAAATTAATTCTTTGTTGACATTGTGATTTAAATAGAATTCTTCCAATTCATTTAAAGGGATTCAATGTCCACATGAATTATTATTTTGGGGAAGACATTTTCACTTTAATGAATTTTCCAACTTCATTAGTATATGTTTTTGTCACTATCATCATGTAAATATCTTTGCCATTAAGGATATCTTATTGAGGGGCTGGGTTGTCTAACTTGCATGTTGTAGAGCATGGTTTATGTTATCTATGCAAGTCACCGACTCGATCCCATGTGGATATGTGACAAGGATCAGAGGGTCGACTACCTCCCCTTTTGACATTTCTTAGGTTATTCGGGTTTAAAAATATACATGTTAGTCCCAAAATGAACTGTTTAGTATTGAGTGGACATTAAACCCAGTCTCCAGATACATCTTGGTACATACTTAATAGTACAACATTCATTTAGCTTGATAATACCAGCTTTCTAAAGTGAAAAATAATACCTTAAAGGCTCAATACCACTCTTGTTGTAACTGAATAATATGTCCCAATCTTTATTCTGGTCAACAAATTGTACTATTTTACAATATTCCAATTAATTGGTGATACAAATTTCATCTTAACACACCTAATTTATAAAAATTGGAAAAATTCAACTACACGTAAATGATTTGAAAAGCCTAATGTAAACCTTTTCAAATGTGACTTGGATTTTCGAACCCTCTGGACAAGTAAAATAGGATTTAATGGATAATTTACACAACAGGTAGGACACTTAAACATCCAATACTTAGAATAAGGCTATTATTTATTTTCTGGAGCTGTCAAGCCAGCAAGAGTGTTATTGTCCCTTTAACCCCCCCCCCCCCCCATGTATTGAATATAATGGTGAGATGTAAAATACTTTGTTTTATTCACATATTATTCTAAACATTTAATTTAAATCCTACATTTGATATTTATGACACACGGAAGTGTTTTGTTCAGTCTGTATTGTCTATATCCTGATATATATATATCCTTACATTGTTGAAAGTCATATTATAAAAGGCAGCAGCATTAATAATACTTATTGTTTTGTTATAAGTATTCCACGGTTTTAAAGCTAATCTCATATTTTAAAACAAAATATTTTCTGTCATATGTTAACTCTTCTACACCTTTGGGATTTGTCATTTGCACAGCTTAAGTTTTACTCAAATTTCAGTTTGAATAGTTCCACAGTTGAGAAAAACAGATTTATCAGGATGATACAAGGGTATGTTTCTAATTCTAGTCTTTAGTATGGGACATTGTGCGGTAAAAAGGTCATTAGGCTCTAGCAGTCTGCTGCTGCCATGGTGGAATATAACCTTACATTGCAAGTAAAACCATAGAAAATAAAATAACCATAGTGTATTGTTTTAAAAAGAATTTCAACACCTTTCGTTTTGCTTCATCACTATGTTTTGTGTCCATCTTGGATATTTTAAGGAATTGTTTATAAAAGACACTATTTCTTTAAAAAAAGCAAAACCTATTTGTATAAGTTAATAATTAGTGTTGTTTTAGGTTGTTCTGATGTGTTATTTAGATTAGTTTATAACACAAACAGTATACAATTCATTTACTTATTTTGCTACTTTCACTTTACATTTTCATTTAAACTATAGACTTAGTTTGTTATATCTGGACATAGAATAAATCTATGATTTAATATTGTTAATGAATTAGTAAAGACAAATTTTTTTATCTTAAAGTTAAAGATGTGTTATGTAAAATATTTCTAAAATAGATAATGAAAAATGAATATATTGAAAATTTCATTCACATTATTTTATTCTGAGCAAAGCTATGAGTGTTTGAGGTTTTGACAAGATACATAGCATAAATTATTATGTTACTAAGTCTCGATTATCCATTTTATTGTTAGTTTTTAAAATCCATTTAAATCTCAGCCACTCATGCTCTAGAGAGTTGGTAATAGGCTTGTCATGTGAATAAATGTATAATAATAGTTTATATAACATTTGAAGCCAAAATAAAAACCTGCAATAGACAGATTTAGCTCTTACATAATGCATCTTTAAAAAACTAATTAACACACCAAATTAAATCAAATTGACATTTTGTTGTTAATCAAAATCAAAGATTTCTTGTCATTATTGTATCGTGTCCTACCACACATTTTGTTTTTCATTGAATCAGCCGTCTTTAAGTGTCAACCTCAGCCACAAGGACTACGGGCTAGCATGCGTTGAATAAATTTTTATCATCTGTCAAGTGTTAACTCATATGTTTTATTAATATTATTATTTTTTGTACAATTGGTTAAAGGAACAATATAAATGTATCCAGTAGTTTGTAATAGTTTCGGTGGTATTGGGTATTCGAATCTTAAAATGTTTTAGATGCCATTTCGAAAACCCACATTCATTCCCTATAATAGGTGACTTTGTCTGAAATTAGAGCTATAACATTAGTTTTTCCCCTGCTTGACTTCTGTACAGGAAATAATTTAGTGCCGTCGGACAAGCATGAATACTCAATAAAAACATGATTTTTGTCCATGTTGAAACATGTTTTAACGACAGCAGTGTTAGTTTGTTTTCTGAACAAAATAACTCGGAAAACGCGGTATTTTCATGCTACGAGAAGCAAACCGATATGTTTGGCTCTCAGAATCCCAGTCTTTGTCTAAAGGTAGTTTTAAGAATGAAAATCCACACCAACCTGTTTTCCAATGGGTTTTAGAATCTGCAAATGTTAAAAAAAAAAAATCAAGAATTATGATTCTGTATGATGACTTGTATGATTAAAATAGATTCTCACAAACTGTAACCATTTTGTAAATAAATGTTTTGTTAATTTATTTGTGTTTGTGTTAATTTCCCAGCCTTCCTCTACACATGGTGTAAGGGGCTATCTTGCTTAATGATTTTATTCAAAGTGTAATTCATTAGCTATTTCACTGGGTATTGTAATGGTTGGAAACCAGGGGGAGACGCACACTGATCCGCAGTGAATATTTGCTTGGCCGCGACAATCACTGATAAGGATGACATTGATGCGGCTTAATGAACTAGAAATATTAACTTTTTTCCTGCGACAAATTAAATTCTAAAACATTTTTTGTATATATTGGAAAAATAAATAAAGGCGTTTGACGTATTTGTAGTTAAAAATTATTTCCGATTTAGTGTAAATGGGTATTAAAATGACTAAAATGCAGCATTCTCTCCGAAGCAGTTATGTCTTATGTAAACAATGCACGCGCCATTCAGCCTATGATTCACACCGCGTGCTGTGACAGCACGTGTTAAGGCAGTCATCTATGACAGAGATATTATACGAGACTCGTAATTCTCTGTGAAACAGATTGGGGGAGACGGGCGATAAGGCCAGTTTCTTGTCTATATGGGGGATCACGTGGCTAAGTGGGTAAGACGCTAGCTCGCTAGCCTGGAGGTCGGGTGTTCGATCCCTGCATTGGCCGAGAAAGTTCATCCAGATTTTCCGGCGTGGTTCTCCCTTGTCAGTGATGCAGGACGGAGGGGCTGACAAGGAAAGCTGTCTAGTCGTTCGGATGGGACGAAAAACCGAGGTCCCGTGTACACATTGGCGTGCACGTAAAAGATCCCTTGGCAGTTGGAATTCGATATAAGAGTAGGCGATAGTGCCGCTGCCCGGGCAAAATTTCCCTCATAGCACACTGTATGGCGTATGCCCGTCTTCATTAGCCCAGGTTAGGAGCAGAACAGTAGGACGTTAAACTCCATTTCATTTCATTTCTTGTCTATATAAGCACGACAGAAAAACGTTCCTCACAGTAGAACCCAGAACCAGTCTCCTTAAAGTCACCCCCAAACACATCACTATCAGTGTCAAATAAAAGAAGACTCCCAAGACCACCCTCCGAATCCCCAATCGAAAACACTAGTCATTTTACCACACCGGGGGGGGGGGGGCATCATCATTTTCTGCTGCATCAGTTATCAGTAAGCGGACGCACTCACAACTCAAGGAAATGAAGGCGGTAAAATTTCTTGTAACATGGACGGGAAATCGTCCTTTGTTCTTTTCATTGAATAAGCAGATTGTTTTACCTCTACTAGATTGGGTGGAGCTTAACCGTGCAATAACTAGACTTCATCGCCTTTATCTGCAACCTATCCTAAACAAGCCCCTCTCCTACAACTGGCTCGTCTTGCAAGTTTCCTAGGATACACTTGTCTGCGACATCACCCTAGGTGGACTGGGAGCGGATGTTAAGCAACACGAATGAACGAACGAGTCCGGCACACAGAAGAGCTCAGAAATTTCGGTTTCATTAAGTGCCAATTCGATAAATCTGCATGAATAGGTTATCAAATGTATACTTCACAATAAATGCGATATCTTGTGATGTTAAGAAATTTGGTATGGTGTATAGCACGCTGAACTTCACAAATAAAACGTGATTCACATAATGAGTTACGTATTATTACTAATTACAGATTTCATAATTAATAATAGGTATGTTAATCTGATGTCATTATAAGAAACGTTTATCCTAAATACGTTACATTAGACTAAGTTGCCCCAATGTTCGGCCAAGGGACCTCGCCCTCCCATCATAATTGATAGTGGTACCGTTTATTTCTGGATGAAGTGTGTTTGAAAACGGTAATAACGCCATTATCGAAACGTAGCTCTGATTAAAAATGCAGTATTCGTTTTCCATAGAACTGTTTTCTACATCTTAATTTTAATAATACCGATACCACCGTTAGCCTTTAGGGCGATTGTAGTTTTATTTATGAAGATCTGATCGTTTTACCGGTAAGGCGACCTGTTTTAAATTAAGTCAACTTTAAATATTCAAAGTAGACAGTTTTTAGCATCAACTGTTCTTTGGAACTTTAAATAAAATATTCTAGCCAAGTCTCTCAATTTCAATATTAAATGTTATAATTAGTTAAATTAGCATAACAACTACAGCTGATCAAGTCACCTTTATTAATGTGTTCTCAAAACAACCCATCCTGCAGCAACACAGACGGTTGTATATGTAGCTAGAACCGTAACATATGTTCTTCGCAACTCACCCATACGAGGATGTGGTGCCGAGTGATCTATCGTGGCATAGGCGTCTTTTGAGTGCAAATTATCGTGGCAACCCAGCTTTTCCTTTCATACTCGTAGGACTACCATCCGAATGCAATCTTGTGTCAATCCACTTACCCGTGACAAATGGGACGCAAGCATGAATAACTTTTGCAAGAGATAGCTCTGATAATAATAATTTTCATAATACCGAATCTTATGCAAAGATATTCCCATCCATAGAAAAGAGATTGGTTCTTATGCACGCTGAGGTATTGTGGCAGTCTTGAGGTGCTAAAATGTGACGTAACAGGCAGATGACGTCACCATCGGAAGAAATGTGTTGCCATGTTGAATCACGTCACAGATACATGATGTCGCCTTATTATTAATAAACGTAAGGCCCAGTGCCAGTGACCACAAGGTTTATTATGTAGCTTAGCTAGCTTGAGTAAAATAACAACAAAACGAATTGGTTTGTTTGATGATTAACACACATAAGGATCCAATACAGGTAACTAAGCGATGTTATATCTTATTTCTAAATCTAAATTCATATACTACATCAGTTACGGCTAGGCATGGCTAGTTTGAGTTTCGTTTCAAAGACATGTCATTGATGGACCATGCCATGGTTTCACGATAATCCAAAAAACATTCATGTGTCCAGGGACAGTCAACATTCCGCATAGCCCACCTGTTTTGTTTTAAAAGATAATAACGTGTAAAATCAACCCAGACTGGTTAAAAATGTAGAATTTTGTACTTTTCAGATACTAATGATCATAATCCGGTCTACGGCTACGTAAAGTAAAAACCAACGAAAGAAGACCAACACAAAGCTTTGTGAGAATGGCATTGCTAAATACCCCAGAAATAGGCAGGAGGCATTCCCTTTATAGTAATACTAATACAGACCTGCAAAGAACGGACTCTTGTTCACTTGGCGCAATGAGAGGACCATCTTTAGAAGATTACGACATTGATGACCTCAACGAATCCTCAACACTGACCCTAAATATAGGTGGAAAAATATTCAAAACCTACGCGAAAACTCTGTCCAAGCTACGCAGTGTAAAAATCGACGAGATCTGTTCCCGTGCTAGAAAATCAGAATTGTTTTTTGATCGAAATCCAGAGGTGTTCGCCGCCATACTGGACTACTGTCGTTACAGCGAACTGCACCTCCCGAGAAACGTTTGTGTGATTGTATGTAAAAAAGAGTTAGCTTTCTGGGGAGTTAATGAGTCACTTATTACTGATTGTTGTAAAAAATATCTTATGGATTGCACAAATGAAATTCAACTCCAGGAAGGCCTCCTTTCGGAATTTATTCGATTGAGACCTAAAAAGGCATGCGATGCCAAAAATACCCGAGAACGGATTTATAATCTTTTGCACCACCCAGAGACATCTACAGCAGCAAAGGTGAGAATGAAGAGAAAAACAAAACGTCATTTAAGGTGTACAATTATCATTTTATCTTGTTGTCTTTAGCTATCCTTTAATAAATTAGGGTAACAACTAATCAAATAAATTTAATAAGCTTACTTCAAAAATTCTCTTAACGGACTGACAACTTTCAGTAAGCCGAACTTGATATTTACCATGAATTATGAAGGAATTCTCTTTGCAAAAAATAAACAAATATCAAATCAAGTGAATGTTAAATATTGTAATTGGTAGAGCAATATCCAGGAATAATTCAGAATAACTTTTTCCAAAATATCTTTCCAGATCTGGATAATAAATTTGTATGGCTGTAAAATATGGAAATGAAATGAAATGGGGTTTAACGTCCTACTGTTCTGCTCCTAACCTGGGCTAATGAAGACGGGCATACGCCATACAATGTGCTATGAGGGAAATTTTGCCCGGGCAGCTGCGCTATGGCCTACTCTTATATCGAATTCCAACTGCCAAGGGATGTTTTACGTGCACGCCAATGTGTACACGGGACCTCGGTATTTCGTCCCATCCGAACGACTAGACAGCTGTTCAGATGAATTATTATCTTATATTTTTCTTCATTTCAGTTTTGGGCAGCTTTATATTATATTTTAGTTTTGGCGTCTGTGGGCAGTATTTTTCTGTCCACGGTTCCCCAATGTCGTGTTCCTGTCAGTAGTGAAGAGCTTCCACCATTATACCAGTCAGATCATGATCATGATAATCATTCCATGTCTAAACGGAGTTTAGATGATGAACCCGACGATGTTCCTGTAGTTAATTTGACGAAGTTCTCCCATCCTATATTTTCTGCTATCTACAGTAGCGATTACATGTTACAGCAGATGGAGACAAACTCTAAAATCCGAATGATGGTGACCACTAAAGTTGTTCCTGCTCTGGACATTCTGGACATGGTGTGCATGATTTATTTTACGTTGGAGTTTATAGCACGGGTGATCACTGTGCCGAGTCGGTTACGTATGTTCATGCATTTCTTTACGTGGTGTGACCTTATGTATTTGATACCTGTTTGGATTCTGTGGATAGGCCAACTGATTGACCCGAGTTTCTGGAGAGCACCCGAAAACATCACAGCCTTTGTGTTTCTTGAGTTTTTCATAGTTGCTCGTGTGGTGGCGCTGTTTCGCGTAGCCAATCAGTACAAAGCACTAAGGGTCCTTATATTATCCATGAAAGCAAGTCTTGGAGAAATATTACTTTTGCTAGTGTTTGTTATGTTCGCCATGGTCGTGTATTCGTCATTAATTTATTGTGTGGAAATTTTCATTGTGGGATCCATGGATAACATGTTTGAAGGACTATGGTGGAGTATTATTACCATGACAACTGTGGGTTATGGTGACATGGTACCCAAATCCGGTTTGGGTTATCTCGTGGCGTGTATCTGTGCGCTAACGGGTATTATTCTGATTGGTATGCCCGTGCCCATTATTACAAGTAACTTTCATAAGTATTACGGTTTTAGGAATACCCGTGAAGAAGTCATCCAGCCTTCACCATCTCAAGTTACCAATGTGGTTTCTCCAAGCAGAAATGAACCCGATTAATTCAAGCTCCCTAAGTAATATTAGAAACAACTAAAACATTTCAAGCAATTCTAGATAGTACAATATCCAGTTTAAACAAATTAATTCGGTGAAAGAATGTGTTCTTAGTAGATTATTTGCACGGGAAGTTAATTTTCTGCTGAAAAAAAAAAAAAATCTTCATTGTTTTAAATCTAACGCCGAGAGAAAATGCTGACACAAGTTAAAACAAAATTGTGATTGAAGTGGTGATTTTATTTTTAAGATTGATTTCCGTTTAAGGATTCAAGAATGTGACGCATGCATCCGATAATTGGGTCGGTGAAGAAGGATGAAATGTTTCTCATTTTTTTTCTAGAAATAGCTCAAATTATTTCTTGAAAAAAGGAGCAATCTAATGATGGCCATTTTTAAAGTTAATCTAATTTGATTTACTTCTGTTGTGATTTATGACCTTATAATACAACAAGTACAGTTTTTGTGATCAGTGATTGACCCTTCAGCCTTTTTAAAATCCGATTTATTCTGAGTTTTATTGCCTACTTTTTGGGGTATTTTGTGAATTCTCTATAATGATTAAAGGTGCAAAGACAGAAAGTTACAGAAATGGGGTGTAACATCCACTCGACACATACTAGGTTATTTCGGGACTAAGATGGTACAATTTTATTTCAATATAACACCATTCAGTTATACAGTGTGCTATGAGGGAAATTTTGCCCGGGCAGCGGCACTATCGCCTACTCTTATATCGAATTCCAACTGCCAGGGGATCTTTTGCGTGCATTCCAATATATACACGGGACCTCGGTTTTTCGTCTCATCCGAAGGACTAGACAGCACCAAGGGGAAACCACGTCTGAAAATCTGGATGAAGCATGTAAAAGAACATTTGACAGTTGGAATTCGATGTGAAGTAGGCGGAAACGCCGCTGTCAGAGAAAAATTTTCCCCGTAGCACATACTTCATTAACCGTGTTGGTGCAGAAGAGTAGGACGTTAAACCCCATTTCATTTTAGTCATTGCCCGGGGGTGATAATGGGACGTGTTTCTCCTGTTCGTGCTAAATACACCCGAGAATTATAAAAAATAAATCACGAAAAATATCGTAGACTCCGACAACACCCTGTACAATATTCACATAACCATAAAACTCATATCTCTACCTGCATACGTAAATTGGCATGACTCATCGGACTATAAAAAATGAATTAACCTATAGATAAAGCGGTGAGCGACAAATATAAAGTTCATACAACCTTCGTCTTCGTCCATTATAAAATGGATAAATTATTTCAAACAACCCTTAAACATACATTATGCAAGAGCTAAATCTGCCTATTGCAGTTCTTTCTTCAGGCCTGAAATGTTATATAAGTAAAAGTTCTTAATTAAACATTAATTAACTTTTCCAGACCATAATCAACTCTCGATGTCAACGCTAGCCTGCGATATTTACTGGATTAGGATCCGATTTGCTGCTCAACTTGCATTCATGATTTAATCATGAAATGGATAATCGAGGCTATGTTTTCTATTGTACCGACTTTAGTAATGATGATCGAGGCTAGGCCGAAAATTCAATCGCTAAAATCTCGGTTCAGAGTGCATCAATTTGACGGAAATTTTCAGCAAATCCCCTTTACATTATCTAGTTTATAACTATTGTAATGAGAACTGTCAGCTCTTTATCTAGTCTCCCATAATGTATCTTTAGTGTAGAAAGAAAATTAAATTCCACCCCAGTACAGTGATCATCCTCAAGATTATCCTGTCCCAAATCTAAATGGAAAACAAACAAATTCTACTAGATATATATGGCTTTACTCTTCCATCCGTATGCTGTCCAAGTATACATTCACCATTTGCCGGAAACTATTGAGAAATACCGAATGCGCCGATTGTCGTGGCTTAAATGCAACAAAATAAATGAAATAAAATGGAGTTTAATGTCCTACTTTTCTGGACCGACATTGCTAATGAAAACGGACATACGCCATGCAATTGCTATAAGATAAGGGAAAGTTTGCCTGAACAACGGCGCTACGGCCTACTCTTATTTCGAATTCCATCTGTCAAGGGTTCTTTTACGTGCACGTAAAGGTGTACAAGGGACATCGGTTTTTCGTTCCATGCGAACGATTATATACGTTGCCCCTTGCCAGACCCTCAGTCCTACATGACAGACGAGGGGGACCACGCCGGAAAATCCCTATGAATTTTCTCGGTCAACACCGGGATCAAACACGGAACCTTCATGTTAGCGAGAAAAGTATTACTCACTGAGCCACCGCTGCTTCGTACAACGAGATAACAACAATAAGATGTTTAGTGTTATTATTTCTCTTTCAATTACCGTAGCTTAAAATTAGCTCTTGTCTGACTACTATCTTCCTTTTTTTGAAAAAAACTTGAAATGTCAGTCTTCACTTGTAAAAGGTCAGATTTTAATTTAGGCGGATAAACAATTTAAAAAAAAAACGATAATCAAGTTTATGGTCTCGATTAACATTTATTATGATAGATAACAAGATAATTTATTGGTTTATTTGACTATCTTCTTGTTGTTTTATTTCTAGTTTTTATACTATGTAACAGATGTTATCCGATAGATCTGGACATAAAAATTGCTGTTTCAAAGGCAATAATTAATTTTAAACCGGGTTGTGAATGGAATTGGAAGGAGAAGAATATATCAGAATTGGAACCATGTAAATCAACTTAGATCGTGTCAGGAATGGACTGACATTATATGCTAAGAAGTGCCAGAAACGGACTTACCACTGGCAGGTCGTGCAAAGCACACAGTTCAGTGGGTCTAAGAACGCATTAAGCCATAAGAACAACCATAGACATAGTATAATCATTATACTACGACTAAGCCGTAACCGGAACTGAAAAACCAGGGTTAGCTTCTCTACAAACAGCTTATTAAATCACCGGTTAACACCAACTCAAACGATGCAACTTCAGGGCAGACTAAAATTGGCAATCTTCTATTGTTAAGAACGGATGAAAGAGACTACAAAGATAAATGAAATGGGTTTAACCTCCTAATTTTCCGGACCAACCATATCAATGACGGGTCTTCGACATGTTGCCATAGGTATACACAAGACGTCGGGTTTTCGTCACAACTGGAGGTCGGGTGTTCGATCCCTGCATTGGCCGAGAAAGTTCATCTCGATTTTCCGGCGTGGTTCCCCCTTGTGAGTGATGCAGAACTGAGGGCCTGACAAGGACAGCTGCCTAGTCGTTCGGATGGGACGAAAAACCGAGGTCCCGTGTACACATTGGCATGCACGTAAAAGATCCCTTGGCAGTTGGAATTCGATATAAGAGTAGGCCGTAGCGCCGCTGCCCGGGAAAAATTTCCCTCATAGCACACTGTATGGCGTATGCCCGTCTTCAATTAGCCCAGGTTAGGTGCAGAAGAGTAGGACGTTAAACCCCATTTCATTTCATTTTCGTCACAACACATTAATTTGCCAGGTTCTCCACCCTGAACCACTGACAGCGTCAGACTCTTTGTCTGTTCTTTGTCGAACTTTAAACTTTATTACGGGCAAAACAAGGGGTTTGCTGTTCATATATAAAAAGTTAAGTATAATGGATAGCAATATAGCATAAATACTCCACCCCCTAATAGTACAATCTCTTAATCCGTCCACCGATAACCCTTATAAAGCATAAAAAATAAAAACATAAGCAACAAGCGGTTGCCATGAAAGATGCTCCCACATTTTGCAAGAGATGGACAGGGAATTAGCTAAAAAGAACTCGATTTTTCGTACAATTAGGGGCCACAATCCACGAAGTTAGGTTCTGATACGTACAGATATCGAAATGAACCCAGATCTTTTGGATATAAACCTATATATTAAGTTTCATAAAAATCTGACAAAAATTGTGACCTCTAGAGGGTCAGCAAACTCAACCTACCTGATGGTGTGAAGGTGATATATTTGAACGTTTTGTTTAAATTGGATAAAAATTGTGACCTGCAGAGGCCATAATCCATGAAAATACGGTCCGGTCCGATACATGGCAATATCGAAGGGATATAAACCTGTATTTAAAGTTTCATCAAAATCGGATAAAAATTGTGACCCGTAGAGTGTCCACAAACAAAATCAGAACGGACAGGGACGACGACAATATACGTCTGTATGAAAATGCGGGCGTATAAAAACCAATACGATGCGAACGAATACCATATTGGTGGAACACACCCCGCACCAAAACAACAATAATGGTTAGCCTCCAGGGAAGAGTAAGAAGGATAAGATCTTGTCTGTCAGTCCTCGAACCTTCGGATGTTTCACACTGATAATCTCCCAGTATTATACCAGGACAGCTGAATTATTTACCTTTCCAAAGATGTAGTCCAGTATTGATGCTGTGTACAAGCCAACAGATATGTACACATCACATACAAAACTTCGGATGAGTAAAATGGTTGCAGATCTATACAGCCCCAGAACACTGTATAATGAAGCTATATTACCGGGGTGGAATATATATGAAAATACTGAAACTAATCTGATAAAAAAAAGGATTTTATCATTTTAACTACCCCCTGGAGGCGGACATAAAAGAGTTATAGGGAAAGAGTCAGACACTTAGGTTGAGTCTGTACTTCCCTGATACCAGTGAGGGTTGTCAAACTCGGAACTGGCTGCTGACCCCTTTTACCCAAATTGATAAAAAGACTAGACAAAGCAACGAACAAAGGGTTTAACAATTTATTGCCTGCAATAATATCACAGTGATGCATAGAAAGGAGAAAAAGCATTAAATATTGAAAAATGGAATCATAAAAAAGTAATATAGAAAGAAACGAAAAACATAGTGCTCGACAGACAGAAACATCAACATACACCATTTCATCAAAATACATTTTAATGGAGACGAGAGGTTCTGCTTTAAAACAGTATATTTCTAGAGTGAAGAAAAATATCCTCTTCACCATTTAAATTTTTCTTGTGGACTTTAATAAACTATAATCATATAAACGACGCTCATTCCAAACGCCACGTATGTACACATATTCGCATGCCTTAGGCTAAATAAATCCATTTTCATACAAATATGAATAATCAAAATTCGAATCCACTATAAAGGCATAACTCCAAAGGAACATCCCAAACGCCAGCAAGGAGAAAATTTGTATGTCTTATCTGGAAGAGTAATGTAGATCTAGATTTGCTAATATCGAACCCGCTATTAAAACATGCCTTGCAAATATACCCCTATTTTGAAACATCATGGTAAGCAACATCTTCCCGGGATCAAAGTAATACATTCCAAAACGTAGGCCCTATATCACGTGGACTAAAGTATGTGTCCATCGTGGACAGTTGGGGTTTAAAATAAATTATCGATTTTACAGAGTGCTATCTGGCTTTTGAATTTGAATAGATATTTCAGTTAAAAATGGCCATTTAAGTTTAAGCATGCATTAAAACTAGGTTGTGATTGATCGAAAATATTGCATTGTCTAAAGTCAGACGAGCAACCACTGGTGGCGTACCTAAGTATTTATAATTACAAGTCACGAGCGGATGGGTAAAGCAACTACCAAAACTGGTATGCTATAAATATGAATTAGTTCTCTCACATCGCAAATTCACGATTATTGACGGTAGTGAGTTTCATAATAGACACCGCCGCTGGTCACGTTTTCATACTGAAAAGGCTTGACAATATAGTGAAAGATGTTGCTTGGTCTAGAACTCTAAATTTGGCTATATATAAAACTCCTTTAATATTGCAATAAGGTAAACTTTACATGACGGCACTACATACTGATCGGTTTAATGGTGTGTTGGCTTTGCCAAGATAGCAGGAACTTTGCTAAATTGAATCAATATATAGCACTTTAAAATGAGGGATGTTTTTAAATTCGACCTTTTCAATTTACTTCTAACCAATCTATACCGTGCTTTAGATGAGTCGAGAGGATAAGCTAGCTAGTTGTAACAAACCGAAGATAAACCAGAGGGCTCATTTTTACGCCGCCATGTTTAATAGCTTTTAATGGCCGCCCGTAAAACGGCTAGGGACTCTTCAGCGGATAAAACATTTCAAGTGAATTAAAGAATTCAATTAACGATGATTCCTAAAAGTTTTTAAATTATGCTAGGTGCCAAAAATAATCAGAAAAAAGAGATAAACTGGAAATGAAAGATGAAACTAAGCTAGCTGCCATAATTGGAATATTTTTCCATTTTCGACTTTCAAAGAAACACGTTTTTTTAAATAAAATGTCGGGTTAGTAACAATTATATCGAGCACACGTTGTCAAAATCACCACTAAAACTGATACAAATGTTATTACAAATCTAATAATTTAATATATCGTGATTAAACCTTGTCTCTGCGAGATATATGTCTTTAACTATATATTTTTTTATATAAATCAAATGTTTGATTTTACGTAATTTGACTATTCAGATACCCCGAGAGTCTACATACATTCGATGTTAAGCTATCATACCATTCAACTCCTTTTGTCATTTCGTTTCGTTATTTTCCGGTAAATTTGGTTTTCCTGATTTGGTTTCGCATTTTACCCGTTCCCATTCACAAAACTAAATGGCGTCATGCAAACAGTGTGAAATTTAACACTACATGTATATAAAAATTAAGAGAGAATTTAAGAAATATAAAAAGGTGAAAAGATATTAAGAGTAACAAAATAAACCAGGAGCAATAAAACGAAAAGAATTACAAATGTCACACTATAAAAACAATAGCTTGAGCGCGATTTAATTAAAGACTTGAATTGCTTCAGTTATATATACAATGACAAAACGTGTTGGCAAATTGTAATTAATTTATTTAATTAAATCAAAGTTTCTGTGTTCATAATTATATCACATAAAAAGGAAAGACAAATTTTTAGTTTTAAAATGATATACATGTTAATAAATACTTCGAGGTTACATACAATGTTATTTATACATATATAGGCCAAACTAGGCCCAATGTCTAGATCAATGTAGTCTAGATCATCTAGTTATCTGATCATGGTACTTCCTGTTTACAAATGATAGCTAACTAGTAAACGGACGTTTAGACAAATAACAATGAATACAAGATTAAATTATATACACCTTATCTTCATGGAATATTAAAAGAGAGGAAAAGATATTGATAAGGTCACACCAATTTTATTTTCTATTCTTTGGAAAACCGGTAAAACATTTCCTTTTAAAAACCAAAAGTTCTTGGTTGTGCTGTTAAAAAGTTTTAAGTTTCACATTTTTAACTTTTGAAATTTTAAACAAAGTATATTTCACTAAATCGAAGTGCCTGTTTATTTATCAAGATCCCGAACAACGGAAAATCAAATTGGTGTAGCCTAATTTGATAAATATAATATTGTTGAGACGCTGGAGAGGTTCGTGTCAAGTTTGATTTTGTCTCGGTCGTACAGCACACTGGGCAGTGGGCAATATTCCAACAGTATTATTGTGCTGTTTGTCGTCGTTGGAAACAGACAGGCTGACTATGCACAAGTGTTCGTTGAAAACTGGTTGTTCTCTGCACCTGTACATGTAACTTTAGTCCAGATTTGATTTTAAAGGGACAATAACACTCTTGCTGGCTTGACAGCTCCAGAAAATAAAAAATAGCCTTATTCTAATTACTAGATGTGTTAGTGTCCTACCTGTTGTGTAAATTATCCATTAAATCCTATTTTACTTGTCCAAAGGGTTCAAAAATATTTTTAAATCCAAGTCACATTTGAAAAGCTTTACGTCAGGCTTTTCAAATCATTTAGTTGAATTTTTCCAATTTGTTTAAATTAGGTGTGTTAAGATGAAATTTGTATCATCAATTAATTGGAATATTGTAAAATAGTACAATTTGTTGACCAGAATAAAGATTGGGACATATTATTCAGTTACAACAAGAGTGGTATTGAGCCTTTAACTATCTGCAATAAGCGCCAAGAATTTATCATGTTCAAAAGAACATTATTGCCAGACTATACCTCTATCTCGACTACATGAAGTATTTCCTTAACGAAATACGGATAACTAAAGTAAATATATTATCTTGCCTGTTGGGTCTTCTTGGATACGTGACAAACCCATCTAAGCCGTAAAATGTTTTGCAGTTAGAGATTATATCACATAGCAATCAACATGGCCGCGATTTTGTGTATAGGCGCATGGCCTTTAAAAAGGTTTATTTATTAACCGGAGTCGTGAAGCCAAACAATTTCTTATTAAGGAAATCACAGAAAAGAAGTTTCGATTCAAATCAGTCACATTTGATGACCCAGAAGCAGCCATTTTTGGCGTCTAATATAGTACACGTAATGCTTCCAAGATCTACAAGGTGCACAATATGAGGCCAAAAGTAGCTATAATAGAGACCGTTATGCTACAAATCTCCGCACATGTCTCGCTATCCAGCATTTAGTATGAACTTCAAGGGACGACAACTATGCTTGGGACAATGTTATGCTTAAGGAAGAACACATAAATTTATATTTTGTTGCTGAATGTGTAATAGGATTTAAATAATCGTGGTTAACCACGCCTTTTATACATTACGAAACAAGATCAAATGATAAAACAAAATGAACTCAATTATCAACGGTATGAATGGTTTTATGAAATAAAAACTAAAAGTATGTTTTGCATAGTTGAGCTAGTGATCATGGCTTTTATTCGCCATCTTGTTTTTTTTTTGTATACAAATAAAAATATGATAATAATAATTGTTATTTTCTAAAATGGAAACTGAACAGAATTTATAGAATTATAAAGATAATTGGAAATATTTACAATAGAAAAATTCTAAGTTATGAGTACTCATCCAATCGACAAAATTGAAAGTCCCACGTGCACGTTGATAACGTTATAGCAACGTCAAAATTTTATTACAGATCCACGTTAGTCTCAGATATTGGTTTTTAGCTAGTCTGTCGGAACAAACTCGTCATCTGATGATTATTATGAATACATCGGGGCTTGAAGGTACTGGATCAAAACATTTATTTTAAAATTTCCGGATCATTAATTCCATCAGAAATGAAATGGGATGGCGTTTAACGTTCGGACAGCGGCGCTATAGCCTAGGCCTACTCTTATTTGAATTTCAGTTGTCAAAGGCTATTTACGTGCACGCCACCGTGTACCAAGGAACTCATTGTTTCGTCCCATCTCGACATAAAGGTAATATATTCATCTTTTGATCCTAATTTCCGGACGCGACATCCACATCGGAGACTAGTTACTGTTTCCAGAAACTACAAGGAATATTTATATTCTCAGTATCACAGTCCCTATATATTCACATTAACCACCGATCTGCGACGGGTCAGAATTTATCACCCGGGGTCAATTATTACTAATTGTGTTGGGTGTAGGGGTATATTTTAACCCTATCAATCCACAGATGACACTTTATGTCTCGTGCCCACTTGAGAGCTGCCGATGTCTAATAATTTGTATTATGAATAAAACTGTATATGCTTTTCGTGAAATTTGAAAATCTATTCATAAAATCTAAAATGTCTTTTGATCGTTTGATTACTAAGAATCCGTTTCCCATCAAGGATCTCAAAAATGTGTTTAGTGTTATCAATATGGTAAATGTATTTAAAAATAAAACAAAATCTAAAAACCTGTCTATACTAATCTATACGGTTTATTATAAATTTAAATGTTCTTTTAATAAAAAGAACCATAATGCCATAATTATTAGTGTTAATATCAAAATATACAATTCAATTCATAAAACTTTGGAAAGCTCAATAGCGGGACAACAGCCATCTTGATCTTACCCTTGGTTCGCCACAAAGTTAAGTACCCTCGGTACGAATGGTGACATGATATTGTTGTATAGCAATCGTGACCAAACTTGATTGGTCTCAATGTCACAAAGTTAACAAACTGCTGAAATGGTGTTTACACTCGAACATCTAGCAAAATAACAATTATCACTGCATTGATACCGAGGGTGCTATATACGTATTGTTAGACAAAGGAGAAGAAAAAGGTGGATAACAACGGACACTTTCTTTAATCATATGAATATTGTTACTTAGAATCAAAGTTATATAAATCTTGAAAAATGATTTACTCGAACTCTGGCTTTCTCGAGTACAAATGCGTGGATACATACCTAAAAAATTTTTTAACCGTCTTTCCATTGTCTTAGTAGTATCGAACAATCAGTATAATCTATCTCGCGCATAGTTCCAAAACATGAAATTATTGCGAAAATTGGAAAAGATTGCCAAAAAAACTCAACGAGTTATATGCTTTGTATTAACGGCTTTGTAATCAAGTGTTTAGGATATTCTGCGAGCCAATATAAAAGTATTATATAGATGTTTATGTTCTTATATCAAATATTCAAATGAATAAAAAATGTCTTACAATATTCAATTTCAACACTCGGCTTGTCATAAAAGATTATAAAGATTATTTAAGCTATATCATAGAATAAGAAGAAAAAAAGGTGATTTCGTGTGAAATAATTTTGATTAAAGTGCAGATGAATAAAAACATGCTTAAATATGTTATTTGGCCGAATGCATAAAATATTACCAATTACCCGTGTTCAACTTTTACAATATTCGTGTTAGTTTAAAATGCAAGACATCGGCTATACAATTGTTCATAATCATACTATATCCATCTTTGCTCGTCCTGTTGTTCGAAGATGAGAAATGGACAGGATATTCCATAGACTGGTCTTGCTACTAGGTCACTCCTTTTCTGATTTCGATATGCCGTAGCATAGGACATCCTGGCGTTTTTTTAGAGCATGTTATCCAGTCTAGGTATTCCAATGCTTGGGTAATTAAAATAATACTGAAACATGATAATACGATTTGATACTGTAATTCAACTATTGAGGAAGTAGTGTAATGAAGACTTATATATAATGATGTATTAATAAAGGCACTAAAAAAATAATAAACATCGTCTGTCGTCCTGATGGGACAATGGGACAATTTGTCGTTCTGCTGGGACAAATTGTAATCCTGGTGGGACAATCTGGTTATACTATACCTCACAATATTTACCCTTTCGTTTAGCAGCCGCATAGATGACCCAATTGAGTATCAATACAGTATATACCGTGCTATTATTATATTATGGTTAAATAAAAGATAAATACTCTGGACACAATTAGGTCATCTGCTAGGCGTCTAATAAGCCCAAAGAGTAAAAATAAGTTAATTATTATAGACGTCAATCACTGTTTTGGTCGTTGTCTGGTAACTGGTAATGCCAGTATTCATGCAATCGCCGCCTTGCAAGTGTACTACTTATAGCTATACGTTAAACGCTCTATACTGTTTCAAAAAAAGGGAATCTTCCCGTGAAGTCTCTCGTACGATATAATGTTCAGTGACTACGTATTTGGATCGCGTCGCTTGGAAACATATCAACAAACCATCATGAATTTGGTTGATAATCAACCCTATCCTGCCTTATTTATTTAAAGAATTATTTCAGCCCGGACACAGACATCTTTAAACTATTTACTACATTCAGCTTCCAGGAAAATATCGCCCATAGAATTTAGTGCATTAAGCGTAATAATTCACAGAGTATCAAGAAACCCTATATAACCTAAATGATAATTAGAATATACTATTAAATTTAGATTATGTACTCAAAACTCAAGTTATAAGATTGTATACCGCCCCCCCCCCCCATTCCCCGCGAGGTAATAAATACTTGTAGCCCTTGTATAATTAATACGTTATCTGTTGCACGCCTGACTTTGTTAGTTTAGACCGATAATTTTAATCGCGATAACACGGTGTTAGCAAATTAACTAATCCGAATACTAGTATCACGCAGAATCCGAGGTACGGAACGTATACCATTGAAATGAAATGCAGTTTAACGTCCTACTATTCTGCATCGATTGGCTTAATGAAGACGGACATACACCGTGTAGTGAGCTATAGTCGAAATTTTTCCCGGACAGCAGCACTACGGCCTACTTTTTTTCGAATCCCAACTGTCAATGGTTCTTTTAGATGCATGTCAATGTGTACACAGGACCTTGTTTATTTTTTGTCACATCCGAAGAACTAGAACTGTTTTGCTAGGATCTCCATCATGCACCACTAACAGGGGAAAATAAAGCAAAGAAACCCAGAGGAACTTTCTCGGCCAACACCGGAAGCGAACCTGGGACCTCACTCACTGAGTAGCTTTAAAAACGGACCATACCAGGTAAGCCCAAAAGAAAACAGATGAATTATTCCATGGCTACAGTATAAGTAGTTAGTAAAATTCAATATGAATTAAAAAGGTATAATTTGAAATCTATAGTACTATCCTAAAATGGTTAAGTCAAGTAACTCTTTTCCTATAAAAGTTATACAATATATCCCTAAAAAGACATGTTTTTTGATCGATATGAAAACAATATGTCTGTATGACATCTAAATTAAAATCTAATGTCTATGTTTAACAATTTCACAAATTAAAGTATAAAATATTTAATACACAGGGGCGATTTACCACGTCTGTTCAAACTGACATTTTACCTTTACAGAAACCAAAGAGTCCATTCCTTTAAATATATCACAATTATTAATAATGTTTTCCATGTAATGGTGGTTATAATAATATCCTGTGTGTATTCTCCATCCCAGCCGTAGACATGTAATAATTACAAATTTGAGCATGTAACACTCTATAATAAATATGTACACATTGTTATTTTGAACATCCACTTACATCACGGGTAGTTTAGATAGCCAGTCACTGGACTGCCTTAACACACTCGTCGGTTAACTATCACAATATGACGTTCATTAAACGCACTAGTCGGTTTTACTATCACTAATTGCCGGAATTAATGCACTCAACGGTTTGCGATCACTAATTGCCTTGAATAAACGCACTGATGGGTTTTGCTATCACTAATTGACGTGATGAACAGTACGAATTGACACCATTCAACGCACTCGATTTTACTATCACTAATCGCTAACGTCTTACTGATTAAACGCACTTGCTGTTTTTATCATCACTATTTGACGTTAAAGCAATTGTTTCTCCTAGTTCAATGGCAGCTGAGTCGGAAAATGTTCGAGTTGTTCGAAACGAGTTGTTCACATATTTTCCTTCTTCTTCGTCTTTTGCCGATTCTTGCATTCTTTCTACGTCTTTCTCTCGTCGCGCCAACCCATATTGAACATGCGTGTAATACAAAACAAAATTACTCACAATAATCGGTACGGTAAATGCAATGGTTAACAATCCAGCAATTGCACATAACGAACCGATGATGTAACCGAAACCGGTTTGGGGGTACATATCGCCGTAACCCACTGTCGTCATAGTAACGATACTCCACCAGAATCCGATTGGAATGTTATCATATCCTTCATTTCCTTCAGCAAAATGCATAAGCGAGGCAAACACAACCATACCGATTAACAAAAATACACACATTAACATTAGCTCATTAAAACTAGCTTTCAGGGTATACAGCATTATCCATAATCCGGGAACATGTCGTATCAACCGGAATATACGACACAATCTGAGCATGCGCAGTATAATCATAAAGTCCATAATAACCATACCTTTCCGACCAATGGGATCAAACATAAGAAATATCATCTCAATGTAGTCTGGTATGATGGCGACCATGTCGATTATGTTTTGAAGAGATCGCATGAATTTGATTTTACTTGGAGAGCAGACGAATCGAGAGATGAACTCCAAACTGAAAAAGAAAAGACAGCTCAAGTCGATGACGACTAAGCTTGGGTGGGGTAACGTTTTTCGTTTTCTTTCTCGATATGTTTCTTCGTCAAAATAATCCTCCTCCCCGTTATCATACAGCAAGTCGGGCTCAACCACAGGTTCCGACACCGTTGCTTCTTCCGGTGACGTTAAATTCGCATTAGTTATGTTTTGATGATCAAGAATCACAGTTCCGCTTTGATTAGGCCAATCATATTTGTCCATATTTAAAAATTCATAAATTTTTTGCATAGATTTGCTTTCAATTTCCTGCGGTTTCACTCGGAACATTGGGTGTGTTTCCGCACAGAAGGAAAATATAGAAAGAAGGACAAATATAATGGACACCCAGGCATAGATCTGAAACGATAGAAAAAATAAAATTAGTAAGAATGATAAAATGTCAAGCATAATACAACACACTGTTTGAATCATGCATAACGAAGTAATCTCTACCATAGAAACTTCTGACCTCCTAACGTATCCGAGACTGTGCAAGGTGCATAACTGTTAAGCTTAGTGTTTTCGGTTTTAGTTTAGGCTGGTTTGGGGGATCAGGTCGGTTGGGAAGATCAGGTCGACTGGAAGGATCCGACCGGTTGGGGATTTTATTTCCATATATACAATTCATCTATCTGAAATTCTGGCTTAGAATTAGAGTAACCCATTACCCACCCATAACCTTTCAGTTCACCATAACGCTTGATGTGTCTAAATGGACATGTCGGAGTTTTCGGCCTCCTAACCGACCTGAAAATATATTCTTCCATACAGCTTAGCAGCAAACCCGGTATGATTTAAACCCATAGACAATGGACTAGGGAGATCCAATATTTAAACCAATATCACCATTCGGAAGCCACCAGTCGTTTCTTTTAGAATATCTCACAGACAAAAATATCACATAAGGCAGGTCTAATTTGCTTTTTGGATAAGTTCATACTTTCCGTATATATTAATCGGAGCAGGGAGCCAAATACTGCACTTCTAGTAGATAAATATTCACTGCACATTTATTATATTATATATTCTTCTTTGAATCTTTGCAAGTGTACTTATTTACGTACGAATAAATTGGATTTTTTTAGTTCTTACGGCGTGGATCTTAGGTCTCTCATGTGGTCAGACTTCTATCACGTAAAATTTAAGCTAGATAAACGTCATTTTCTGACGTCATATTAACATTAAAAAGATTAGCAAAATGATGGTAAACGGACCGACCATTTTGAAGTAAAGTTAAAGGTAGATAAATATCAATTTCTGACGTTATATTAATATTAAAAGGATGAGTAAAATGATGGTAAACCGACCGACCATTTTAACGTAAACTTTACGTAAAATCAAAGTCACGATGTTATCTGGGAGAATGTTACAAAAGTAGGGTAGTATTTACGCCGGATCATCCCGTTTCCACCACAATGTTGAAATAAAAATAAAACATATTATTTTACATCATGTAGGTTAGTCTCGAAATAACCCTGTAGTGTTTGATGGACTTTAAACCCCATATCACTTTAGTCTCAAAAGTAGGGCAGACTTTAACATCAATGCCTTAGAAGTGGAGCATATCTTTATAACTGAGTACAGTGTATCTATCATGATCTATAGAGTTGATTCGATTCGGGTATTCCATTTATTTTTCCTTCAAGTAATTCTCATTTCGTGGCAAAAACGAGCTCTTGGCTTTCAATGGCAATCCCATGTAATCTGTTTTTAAATATAGTCAAACGGTTCCCAATTTAAATGAGCGTTATCTTCAGTTTCAGGGAGGGGGGTATTTGAATAATCTGTCAATAAATACAAAGATAACGAGTTTGAAACCTGGAACAGAATTTTAACATAGCAACAATCTAACCTGATGCACAATTTCTTACACGCTCGGAACACATCGTCCCTCGCTTATCGACTATGACGTCCTAGTACGAAATTTGTCCGCTTCGCTGTTGACTTGCAGAGCATTATTATAGGGCCAGGCAAAGTTTTAACGCTGCATTAATTGATACGAACGTCGGTATAGCCAAACAGACGAAAATCCATTTGGGAAAGCCATAATCCAAGCGAACCGGAAGTCTATATTGATTGTTCTGACCGCCCTTTGTTCGACGCTTAATTTGTTGAAACAATGGAAAAATGAAATGAAATGGGATTTAACGTCTTACTGTTCTGCTCCGACTGAGCTAATGAAGACGGGCATAAGCCATACAGTGTGCCAAAGTTTTGCCCGGACAGCGGCACTACGGCCTACTCTTATATCGAATTCCAACTGTCAATGCTTCTTTTACGTGCACGCCAACGTGTACACGGGACCTCGGTTTTTCGTCCCATCCGAACGACTAGACAGCTGTCCTTGTCGGGCCCTCCCTCCTGCATCACTGACAAGGATGAACCACGCCGGAAAATCTGGATGAACTTTCTCGGCCAATGCAGGGATCGAACACCCGAACTCCACGCTAGCGAGCTTAAAACAATGGATGTCAATCCTATGGGTGTGGGATATATCTGAGGTTTTTAAGCTTAATCCAATTCTAACGCTTGTTATTTAACCTCATTAGCGAGTGTTGGGCGTGCACCCTTCGCGAAGGACGATAGTTCAACAAATTAATAAATTTTAGATTGTACAGGTTTTTTTTTTCAGAAGAAAACAAAATCGTTTCCAAAACGCTGCAGCAAATCTTGTGAGCCTATCTACGTTCAGATTGGACCTGTGCATGTTTCAAATTGGGAGATTTGGTAATGGCCATCATTTTAAATGTTGATCATACTAGTTTTCCCCAGATACCTAATTTGCAACACTTCAGAATTTGTGTCTAACCTAAATAGCTAGCAGATAAATTGCTTTATTTGTAAATATAGATTAGCATAGGTTAATTGTAGTTCAACTAATTTGTAGGGATTTTTCCGTGATAAATTATCAAGCGTTTAGTTTTATTGTTCTATAGGGAATAATACTACCTCAGTAATATTGTCACTACTAAATATTATAATTACGCCAGTAGTGGAAATGACTACTGAATGAACTTTTTCTTCATTACACAATCTATTTTAATCTGTTCTGAAAGGAAAGGCTGCTTAGGCAATCGTTCTAGTTAGGCAAAAAATTGAAGTCAATTTTACACATTGATTGTGCACGTAAACGATCCCTTGTGGGTTTCATTTCGACGAAAATCAAACAAAAACAACACTGTCGGTATTTCCTCCCCACCCACTTATTTGACACGTAATTGTAGTTAAAGATGCATTATGTAAGAGCTAAATTTGTCTATTGCAGGAGCCACGGTGGCAAGTGAGTATGACGCTAGCTAGCCTGGAGGTCGCGGGTTCGCTCCCGGTGTGGGTCAAGAAAGTTTATAAAGGAATTTTCCGGTGTGGTTCCCCTTGTCAGTGGTGTAGGGCGGAGGGCTAGCTGTCTAGTCGTTCGGGTGGGGCGAAAAACAGAGGAGGTCCGTGTATACATTGGCGTGCACGTAAAAGATCCTTTGGCCGTTGGAATTCGATATAAGACTAGGCCGTAGCGCCGCTGTCCAGGCCAAATGTCTCTCATAGCATATACATCATGGCCTATGGCTGTCTTCATTATCCCAGTCGGAGCAGAACAGTAGGACGTTAAACCCATTTTCATTTCAGGTATATTTGGGGATTCAACATTAATTAACATGAAATGCCCATAATCAGTCCTCCAGGCCATCAGATGGCTCAGATTGTTAGTAGATTTAAGCAGTTCGGACATTTAGTGATTTATTTTAAAACTGAAAAAGTGAGGCTGAATCTCGAATAACCAGTACCATTGTTACAATAAACAACAACCAATGCCACATATTCATTTATCATTATCATTTTTTTAAACTATTATAGCAAGAACGACTAGCTCTTTATCTGAATCTTACATAGTGTATCTTTAATTAAAACTGCCATAATATCAAAAGGATGTAGGTAGGGACTTTACCCTCAAAGTAGCCTCCGTTTTATTTGAATTCACTCTGCCGAGGGATCTTTATATGTGCTTCTAATGTATAGATAGAAGCTGCATTTGTCTTTACATCCGGGCGACTAGCCACGGGTCATATCTTTAAGGCTCTTTCAACTGATTTTATGATATTCTGTATTGGATGACAATTAAACTAATGGAATGTCATCAGTTTTTTGTCTCCTATAGGAAATATTTAATAATATTATAACGTCGTATCTTCAAAATTGAATAAAGATACCTAGGAAATAAATTGGTTTTTAAAACATTTACAATCTTTGGTCGTCTTTGGTAAGCACCAAAAACGATGGAATTATTAATGATTTCAACTAAATTAAACATTCGAATAGCATTCAAATAACGATTTAAGATCCGTCGAATTTCAGTACTATTACATTTGTAGCATAAAATAGAAAGAGGGGGGGGGGGGAGTGTGTGTGTTTGTTTAACGTCCACTCGACATAAACTAGGTCATTTCGGGACTAACATATGTTTCAATTTTATTTCAATGATTCGCTTGCGCGTAGGTGTCTTTAGTAGTGGGAGGAAACCAGAGGACCCTGAAAAAACCCACAAGGTTGGACAGGCGATCCCACTCCGTGCACGTACCACCGGTGAATCGAAACCACGCCAGTTGACTCAATGAAAAATCTTATGATACAACGCGCACGCGCTGACCATTCGGCCGTCCAACCCCCTTCATAAAATAAAACCCAATAATATAAATTAACGAAACGGCCAACTGTGTATAAGTATAACTATTTAAATGTTTAGTTTTTATGTTAGTCTCAGATAATATTTATATTTGCATGTATATATATTTTTGTTGTATATTATGTTCTGCTTGTATATAAATTAAATTTATTTTTGTAAATTCTGGAGTAAACATAGGCCTAGTCTGTTCCTTAATTCATTTTCAAATGAACCAGAACAAAAAACATTGTTTATAAAAAAAAAAAAAAAAAATAGTTAAATTAGCATAGTAAATGTGATCCATGCTCGCTTGACAGGATTCAGCCCACCAATCGTGCCATGTCAGGCATAAACAGATAACATAGTAAAGACAAGATAATCAAAACTATTCACGCGGTTTGTAATTAACATAATATTGCTACGGCAAATTGAATTCACAGAGCATGTTTGAATTTTTTAATATCAATAAATTTCTTTTATAAATTCAAAAGGTCGTAAATATAGAAATGAAATAAAAAAAGGATGCCGGGTTTAAATCTTCCCCGTCTGTACTGTGAGAGAAATTTTCCCCTGACAGCGGCAAAGCGACTTACTCTATATAGATATCCAGCTTCCAAAATATTTCTAACGTGCTAACGGGACCTCGGTTTGTCGTTCCATCCGAAAGATTAGACATCCTTTACTTGACGAGCCGTCCGCCCTG